TTATTATTATTATTATTTTTTGATAAATCATCTAGCACTATCACAATAGTGTTTTATAGTTTTTAAAATTTACAATAAAGTTAAAAGATAATTATGTAAGGACATTATTAATGTGGGTTATATAAAATATTAAAAATTCTTGTAAAATAATTATATTTTTTAGTGAAATGAAATTTCTGGAAATTCATGAAATTAATAAATCACCTTTAAAACTGTTGAAATGTAATATGAAAGTTGCATAACTAAGCCTTTTCAAGTATTTCTATCTATTCTCAAGGATCCAATATATTTACTATACAGCTTTAAGTAACTGGCATACTCTATTTTTTAAGATACTGGGTTTGAAAAAGAAAAAAACTTAATAAATATAATTTAATGCATATTTAACAAATAAGACCATCAAATTTAAAAGTCCTGTTGTCAAGCAGTCCGGTTTGAGACTTGTCAATCTGTTCATTATTCATTTGATCTATGGAATATGATGCAGTCCATTATGTACACCGTCTGTATGTTTGTAATCTGTACTTTTAGGGTATGTTTTTTTTAAATGTGTTATATCTATGGAATGTTTTATTTGTGTATGTATATGTAAATTTTTTCATGTTTGATTTTAATGTTTAGTCGGCTGAAGAGGGACTATGCCTGAAACACGACTTGTAAATAGTGTCCCAACTGAATAAAGAGATGAACAATCTGCCAAGTGTTTTGAAAAAAGTCACTTTAGTGTGTCTGTATAAAGCAAAGTAAACTACAACACGGTTTCATCAGAATCAAAAGAAATAAAGTATTATTAAAGATTAGTCTATAATTTAAATTTCTGTGACTTTTTGAATCACCCTGTTGGGTGATTCAAAAAGTCACAGAAATTTTAAAAAATTAATAACTCACAAACTATTTAAAGTAAGTTGAGGTGGTTTTCACAGAACTTGTTAGAAAAAAATAGGATTTTTTTAGGTGTAATAAAAATTTTAGTACCAAAATAGTTATATTTCTTGCCATAGATGGCACCATAAAAAACAAATCATATGTCAATTTGTTAAAGTATAAAGTAAAAAAATAAAAATGTTCTTAGTGTAAGTTCTAGTAACAACTTCACAAATTATGTAATCTTATCAAGTGCAATCTATGGCAAGAAATAACTATTTTGGTACTAAAATTTTTATGACAAAAAATCCTGTTTCTTTTTTTAAGCATTTCTGTAAAAACTGCATCATCTTACTGTAAATAACTATTTACAGTAAGATGATTTGGTTAAGTGAGTTATTAATTTTTTAAAATTTCTGTGACTTTTGAATCACCTGTATTTTTGGTAAAAAAGTTATCATGTAGACTTCAGGGACATGTTCTTTGTAGTATAACTGTATTAACTTAAAAGATCTTACATTAATATTATATGTAAAGTATAATTGAAAACAAATATATATTTTTCTACACCAGCAAATTTTAATTACATGTTAAAAAAAAATCAGCAACAAGCTGAATAACTTTCATAGCAAAATGTTTAAAACTGTGTATGGAACTATCTCAGATTTTATTAAAAAGCTTTTTTATATTATTAATTGTTATAAAATGGCAAAAACTTAATTTTGAAGATAGAGATGAGTGTTTTTTCTTAAAGAAATTGTAAATGCTAATAATGAATAAAATCGCCATTAAGTCCAGCACCACTTGAGATATGACTCATGACTCTATAGAGAGTCTAGACCTTTAACCACCAAAATTTAATAGTATCAATGCCCCTAATATACAAACCTTTAAGCAAAACTTCAGAAATTTTTGGCAAAAGGCACAGGAGTTATTAAGCTTCAAAGTGGATAAACAAAATCATGCACACCACACACACAAACAAACAAACAAACAAATCTATACATACAGAAAAAACCCACAATGTTATTTTGCACTTCTGAATGTTTTGAAGTCCTGAGACCAAAAATGTAAAAATTTCAAAAGTCAATTTTTCATTAATTGCCATACATTCCCTCAGTTATATAACATTCCGGGAAGTAATAAAACAGATTTTTTGCTAAAATTTCCACAGCTACTTTATCATATTAAAACTATTGCATTTTTAATGCTTATGATAATTCTTTGAATTAAATAATTATTTCAGCAACCTGATAGTGCTGTGTTTTCATTGTGATAAGTTTGGGAAAAACAGCACTATATAATAATTAAATACAAATCCAAACAAGAAGCTAAATGAAGAAGAATTCTTTGTATGTTTTGTTCAGGAACAAAAAAATAATTAAGAAACAACTTATTCAAGTTGTTTTTGGATTTAAAATTAAACATTCATTTTTTTTAAATCAAAACTTCAGAAGATAAATGTTCAAATAAACAACATCCATATTCTGAAATTTCACTTCAGATATGTAGTTTAGTCATCACTGAAATACTTAAATAAATTTTTTTGTTCACCTCATCTCACTGAGTAAAAGCATTTTAGTCAAATGATGTTTATGAATGATTGAAATTATAATAAAAAGTAATACTAATGGTTGTAACATTTTATGTAAGATTTAAGTAAGTGGCAATTTTATACTTTTAAAATTATCATTGCTTCTTATATGTATGAATTTTGAAATATTAGATTTAATAAACTCAAACTTTTTCTAAGTTTAAAATTAATATTTTATACTATCATTTAAAATCTATATTCTTGTGGAGAATTATTTATCCTGTTTTAACTATTTTTGTATTATTATAAATTAATAGTTTTAAATAAAAACTGTATTTAAATAAATATTGCACTTATAATATTAAATATGGTTTGAAAAAAGCGATCACTTTTAATGTTTGTAAATCAAATAGGGCATTGTTAGCTTCAAGCAAAACTAAACAGAAATAGGATTAAACTGAAATAATTCTGAATTACATTAGCATAACTTTTTGAACCAAATAGATTAATAAAAACTAGAAGTAACATATGCAGTTGCATTTTCTTTTTGTGTGACTAATTATTTTATAAAACAAATGATTACTTGTATTTTATACAAGCAAGCATTTATTTTACTTTGTAAACAATTTATGTAGTAATAGTAACTCTTGTAAAAGAATGCTAACTTTAAAATTGATTGATAAAATGCAATTTAAAAGAGAGGAAAAAAAAACCAAACTAGCTTCTAATGTTAAACAATTAAAAAAATAAAATCAGTGTTCAACGAAAATAAATTAATTCATCAATTTTACTAAAATGTTTTTAATACTACTAGTAAAATATAACAATAATCTTTTACAATACTTACCTCGTCTTTTTCTCTTGATATGTTATTTAGAGAATTATGAACATCTGAATTCAAATATTTACTATCAATAATATTTTGATTATCTTCATTTTCCTCTTCTTTTATGGTAAAATCATCTGTTTTTATCTATAAAAAAGTATCAATCCATCAAAATAATTGTTAAAATTATTCTAGTTCATTCACTAAATGAAAATTAAACAAATAGATTAAAAGCTAACACCTGAAAAAAACCAAAAAACTTCTTATTTCAAAAATAATTTTTTTTAAGAAACCAATGTCTTCTTATAGTCCTTATATTATTATTATGTTAGTTTTAGTGAGTTATACTTGGTTGACACTGGTTGCTGGACCAGAGTGAAGACATAGCAGACAAAACAAGACAAAAAAAATTAAATAATAAGAGTTGTGTGTGTGCATGTGTATTAGTGTATTATTATTATTATTATTTTTTTAGTTAATATATTAACTAATGACAGATTTTTAAACTTATACATATTATTCGTAAAATTAACATACAATATAAAATTAAATATAATATTGAATACAAATTACAGTGGAACCCTGTTTAACAAACGTCCTGGTTAACGACCAAATCGGTTAACGAACTTTTATTTTGCAAAAATTTTGTCTCAGATAACGAACAAAATTTGGATAACGAACGTAACGGTATATTGTGTCAAATTTTAGTTGGTGTTAGGCATGCGCGAGTTAAGCATTGCTTTTCCGAGTGTTTGTGCTATACTTCTTTTTTTCAGTTTTGTGATTTATATATTTAATCAATATGGTATCGAAGAAAGAAAAAGTCATAGTGGCAATAGAAAACGACAATGCGCTATCGCATTTGAGAAAAATTTTGATTAAAAGAGTAAGACAATCAACTTTAGATCAATTTCTTGTTCCTTACGGAAAGAGTTTGTTTCATTGTTAAGTTATGGCAACGCAACACTTGGGCGATCTGACTAGGGTGAAATGCCTTCTGGGAGGTGTTTTTAAGGGAAACTGGCCCCTATTTAGGCGTTACAGACGTGAATAAATCCCGGAAAACTCCACGTAGCCAGCCCATCTCAGCAAGGTGCGAACCCACGAACGAACTCCCCGTGTTCAAGGTACGAAGACCACTTAGCCACTGGTGGGTTTTTACCGAAAGAGACTTCGACTCGAAGAATCTTCCGATGAAGTGCTACCCGTTATTTTTTTGGAGGGGATTCCCCTTCTAATCATTAAGGTTCGTATATTTTCACTGTTCTGCCACCAACTACAACAAACGAAGGTATTATTAAACAAAGTTTACATGTGTGCTGCTGTAATGATAGATACTATGTTTTCGTACATTTTCATCAAAGAAAATTACTGTATATTTCAAATAAAATGACAAAAATTTCGGAGACTAGAACGAATTAATTGCATTTTCATTAATTTCTATGGGAAAAATTGCTTCGGTTATCGAACAATTCAGTTAACGAACGGAGTCGCGGAACGGATTAAGTTCGTTAACCGGGGTTTCACTGTACTGTATTGATCCAAATATAAGTTGACCCTGAATATAAATCAATTCCCAATTTTGGAATCTTTACTTTTTAAAACAAATTAGATCTGAACAAAAGTCAACTGTATATTATTAATTTTATTTGCATATAAAAAATCAGCAATTTTCATTAAAAAACATGGAAAATCATTAAAAAATATTTTATCACTTTCATCTTCATCAGAATGTTCATTGTCATCAAAGTCATTGGCCTCTTTGATCAGCATATCACCCTCTGTTCTGTCCAAGTTATTGGTATATAACATTTCTTAAAGATCTTTATAATTGCGTTTTCAACAACAATTTTTTTATTATTTTAAGTTATTCTAACCTTTTACAAAAATATGTGAAATTTTTATCTATGTGACTATGAAAACAAATCATTTTCAGTTTATGTACAGTAATTTCTTTATTTTCAAAATTACTTTAATTAAAGGTAAAAATTATTTTTTTTGAATTTGTATTTACAAATATCTGGAAAATCAATCATCAGAAATGTATTCTTGTTTTTAACTTTCCTACTAATTTTTATAAGTTACATTTTAAATCAAATGTAAATGATCAGAAAATTGTATTCAAAGAGTTTGTTTTATACAAAGAAATATAAGTATCAAACACTTTTGTTATAAGCGATAAATTGTAACTTATTGCTTCTTTTTGTCAATATCAATAAAAATAAAATTAATAAAAGTTATAAAGAAAAACATTGAGACAATGTCCTATATGCTGGGAAGTAAGCTGTCTGGCATATTTCATGTGATTTCCATAAAATATACTTATAGTTCATAAAATATTCATTTGGATAGTTTTATGACTATCCAAATGAAACCAATTTTTCCTTATTTTTTTTTATAACTGTCTAAAACATGTTTTATAAAGTCTAAAACATATAATCATATTAAATACATAAATTTATAATTTACACTTTACAACAGTATAAATTTTGCAGTAAATATACAGCAATCTTTACCCACTTTTTGATAACTGTTTGTGTAGTAGAGACCCTGGGAGTGAAATAATAAAATTTTAACAAAATAAAATTTTTGTAAAAAGCTACCAAAACTGACTGAATCTGTTGAATATAAAAACAATCAGCTTAGTTTGGTTGATTGTTCAGAAATAATTAACTAATTATTAATTGGTTATTTACTGTCATTCCAAACATTTAATTCTTGGCATTGTTTGTGAATTGCAGCATGGCAGGTGACAACTTGACTGGCATTTAGCATTACTAAATAAATCGAAGTACTGAATTTTAGCATCAGTTTAACACTGTATATTATGTACCATAGACAGTTATATAAATCAGAGAAAACTTTAACTAGACTCAGAATATAAGTTGAGGCTCAACTATAGGTTGACAGCTATTATTTTATCCTTTTGAAACTGGAGAAAAAACATAGACTAATATTTGGGCCAATATGCCATAAACCTAATTTGTTAAAATATTTTAAATTTCTTTAGAAAAATATTAAAAATAAGTGGGAAACACATCTTCATTATCAATATTTAGAATACAACTGAGTCATTTTTGTCCATGTCAATAAATTTTAAATTCTAAATGTTTAAATATCACATAAACTAGCACCTTTTCATATATTAATTAAATGGGCTATTTCCATCATCTGTAAGGCTTAGGAAAAAAGAATTAAATAAAGTTTGTGATATTGCAAAATGTCATTGTTTCAAAGCAAAGTCATGGATGGTTTGATTAATTCTCACCTATATAAGAAGGTTAAGAAAAGAAAACAACATACTAACAATACTAATAGGGGCTCTTTTCTATTTAAAAATATACATTAAACAATTTCTTACTATAATGCAATTGCTTAGGTCAGATAAAGATAAAATCAGTATAGATCATTGGAATGTTCACCTAAAAAATATTATGCTATAATTAGTAGAAATAATACTAACTACTGCACTATATTGACATGACGGATATGTAACACTGAAGTTCAGGTTTCTTAGAACAATCCTCTTTTAATATAGGAACTAAGAGAACATTCTTCAATCCATTTGCTGGAACAGATGTATATTTATATTTTCTCTACATATTCCAATTTAATTAAAACCAGAGATGCTACTTAATTAGAAAATGCTTGAAAAGAAGAACTTGATTCACTGAATAATTTATAATTTCTATAATAAAATAATACAGTGGTATCTTGTACTATAATGACTCATATTTCAAATGTTTTAGAGTTTGAATGTTAAATTAGACAAAAATTCCCTTCAGAGTTCAAACAATGCTTCAAAGATTGAACTGTAGGTGCAATGAATACATGCACTGGAAGTGTAAAACAAGCTTCTAAACAAAGAATATAATGTCAAACTAGCAATTAGGTGTTAAATTTCACAATTGTTATAATTAAATTACACATGTATGTTAAGTAAAGACAGTGTTAAAAATATCCAAAAACTTCCCATTCAACCCAATATAACATTTACTTATTAGTATATGTTTATTAGTATTTTGTTGCTTTCACACACTTCTTGGATGCTATGGCATCCAAGAAGTGTGTGAAAGCAACAAAATACTATGTTGCTTGAAGCAACAACATAGTATGTTACACACACTTCAGCAACAAAATACTATGTTGCTGAAGTGTGTGAAAGCAACAAAGTCTACCAAATAAAAGGAAAGCTGAAATATTGGCAAGTGACATAAAAAATAAATGTATTGCAAAGCACAAAAGCAGTACATGTGTGGCGGCAGATCTGGTGGCCGTGGAAGTTGACAGTGTGCAAACAGTAAATGCAATTTTCATTTTATTATATGATATTTACATATTTTATTTATTGTTTTAATGTTTTTATTTATTATTAGAATATTTTATTGTGTTATTTTTTTATCTTAAATTATATGTATTTGCTGTTTTAAGTTTATCAAAATGAATATCATTTACAGTCTAGGAATAGATTAATTCACTTTCTGTTATTTCTAATGGGAAAAATATTGGACTTCATTGGCCTCCTGGAACAAATTAAATTTGATGTATGCAGCACCATTGTACATTTATTTGAAGGATAAAGAATTACCACGTATATATATATTTAACATGAATTGTCAATATCTTGTAAAACTTTTTTTTGACAATTGGTTCATTTTAATATATATTCTAAATGATTCCACTTGAAAATGCAAATATATTCTGTGTGTAATAATTGAAAATGATACAATGAAGGCTGAAATATTTCTAAAGTTATTAAATAGTTGTGGTGTCCTTAACAAAAGGACATGTCAACTTTACATTTAAAAATGATGCCAAGTTTTGTTCATTTTGAAGATTGTTTACATTATCCTGACAAATATACAAAGATTCCTTATAATATCTAAATTCATATATCTATTTCCATTACAATGAAAAATTAACCAATAAAATTTTAGTCTATTTTTCTCAATAATTAGGTATATATAATCTAAGACAAGATTTTGATTTTAAAAAAAAAGTTGCTTATCATCAATGAAGTCTTTTTATTATAGTTGTATTTAACACACTGAAATATATATATATATTTATTCTAATCAATAGAAAATATTTATTTATTTATCAAACATAAAGTTACCTTTTTTCTAACAGATCCTGGTCCTGTCTGATCACATTCTTCAATTCTTTGATTTGGTTCAATTTTCACAGAAACTGATGACATTGTAAGAGAAGTTGCCGAGTTGGCATTTTCTTCTAGTTTAACTCTTTCAATAAGTCCTTCATTTACTTCATATATAGGAGGTGCTCCTTCTATTCCAATGCCATTTTCACTTCCTGTTAAAGAGGGCCTTCGTGATTCTGAAGGCTTCTGACGCCCTCCTTTCATCTGACGAGGCTATAAAAATTTCATATTATTTAACATTATTTCTGTAATAAGAAAAATTTGTTATCAAAAAAACTCAATATTTTAAAATAAAGAACAAAGGCATGTTAATTTCAGAATTAAATTTAATAAAATAAACCTTAATGAATAATTAATTCAAGAATTGAACCTATCTGTAGTAAAGTGTAAATAAATTTCAAGTTTTGTTTTAAGTATTTTAATCTTTTAAAAGATCAGTTCAAAAACTTCTCAGAATAGAATTATAAATCTAGCATCACAGAATTTTTCAGTGAGAATAAACAAGTCATCTACAATCATAAAACACTCCAAGAATGACTATTATACTGCAATTAGTTTAATGATAGATGGTATGAAAAATTAAACTTTTTGAACTGTAAATTTTTAATACAGAGCCTATAAAAAGAAGAGAAAGATTTACATCTATGCATGTAAGCAACACAAGAAGAATGCAACCAAAATTTATATACTGTTTATGGTAACAATGCTTGCTTATATCTGACAGTTATGAAATGAATTTTTCAATTTCAAGGCAAATATCTGAGTTTGGAAAATTAATCCCCATTAGAAGTGGCCTCGTGCACAAGCTGTAAACAAACAAAACACTGTTGCTATGATGACATTGCTGATAGAAAATTTTAATATCATAGTGTAGTTAATTACACTATGTTTATGATTATATATATACAGGATGATCACAAACAGGATACAGAGCTCTGTACAAACTGTTAAACAAATCTCAACCAAATTAAGTATACAAACTTGTCCTGGTATGCAGCTTCAATTTTGGAAAATAATTTTATTTTAAAATTCAGCCACTATGCAAAGTTTGGCATTGCTGTCCATCTAACATGCATATTACATTTAAAAAATTTTGGGTATAAAAGGAATCACAAATGTTTTTCCAGAACTGCAGCAAAGAAACTGTCTGAACACCACAATCTTTATACAAGATTCATCGCATGTTGGCTTAAATTTGTAAGCCCTACTGCAACATTATTTTTCACTTGAGAAAGTGGTTATCTGGCCATTTCAAATATCATGATTGCCACAATCACCAGAACTAAACATCTATCATTTTTTATTATGGGGCTATATAAAGAGCTCCTTATAAAAGCAATGTTCCCAACCTCATCTTAAACGACCAAAAAAAAATCATGTGTGACAACTCTAAACAAGTCAGTTTTGTTTTGCAGTTGAGTGTATAGTGCAGCAAATGCAGTTTTTAGATTTTGGATATGGAGAGCACATAAAACCATATCTTTGATGTAATTGTCAATTCTACATCAGTAATTGAAATAAAATTATTATATTTTGTTTCTTAACTTTATAAATTCATTAGAAAACATGTGTAATATACACATTAAGAAACAGTACTGTCAAATTTCATCCTAGCAGCTGAATTTTAAAAGAAAATTGCATATTCATGACAGTATGTACTGTACATCAAATTGTACTGATTTGCATAATGTTCTTTCAACAGAAAGTTCTGAAATCTACTCTTTAATTATGATCACCCTATGTACATTGATAACATTGCAATGATTTTTATTATTATATATTAATTTTATATAAATAAAATAACATATATTTATATATTATATANGAAACAACTTATTCAAGTTGTTTTTGGATTTAAAATTAAACATTCATTTTTTTTAAATCAAAACTTCAGAAGATAAATGTTCAAATAAACAACATCCATATTCTGAAATTTCACTTCAGATATGTAGTTTAGTCATCACTGAAATACTTAAATAAATTTTTTTGTTCACCTCATCTCACTGAGTAAAAGCATTTTAGTCAAATGATGTTTATGAATGATTGAAATTATAATAAAAAGTAATACTAATGGTTGTAACATTTTATGTAAGATTTAAGTAAGTGGCAATTTTATACTTTTAAAATTATCATTGCTTCTTATATGTATGAATTTTGAAATATTAGATTTAATAAACTCAAACTTTTTCTAAGTTTAAAATTAATATTTTATACTATCATTTAAAATCTATATTCTTGTGGAGAATTATTTATCCTGTTTTAACTATTTTTGTATTATTATAAATTAATAGTTTTAAATAAAAACTGTATTTAAATAAATATTGCACTTATAATATTAAATATGGTTTGAAAAAAGCGATCACTTTTAATGTTTGTAAATCAAATAGGGCATTGTTAGCTTCAAGCAAAACTAAACAGAAATAGGATTAAACTGAAATAATTCTGAATTACATTAGCATAACTTTTTGAACCAAATAGATTAATAAAAACTAGAAGTAACATATGCAGTTGCATTTTCTTTTTGTGTGACTAATTATTTTATAAAACAAATGCTTACTTGTATTTTATACAAGCAAGCATTTATTTTACTTTGTAAACAATTTATGTAGTAATAGTAACTCTTGTAAAAGAATGCTAACTTTAAAATTGATTGATAAAATGCAATTTAAAAGAGAGGAAAAAAAAACCAAACTAGCTTCTAATGTTAAACAATTAAAAAAATAAAATCAGTGTTCAACGAAAATAAATTAATTCATCAATTTTACTAAAATGTTTTTAATACTACTAGTAAAATATAACAATAATCTTTTACAATACTTACCTCGTCTTTTTCTCTTGATATGTTATTTAGAGAATTATGAACATCTGAATTCAAATATTTACTATCAATAATATTTTGATTATCTTCATTTTCCTCTTCTTTTATGGTAAAATCATCTGTTTTTATCTATAAAAAAGTATCAATCCATCAAAATAATTGTTAAAATTATTCTAGTTCATTCACTAAATGAAAATTAAACAAATAGATTAAAAGCTAACACCTGAAAAAAACCAAAAAACTTCTTATTTCAAAAATAATTTTTTTTAAGAAACCAATGTCTTCTTATAGTCCTTATATTATTATTATGTTAGTTTTAGTGAGTTATACTTGGTTGACACTGGTTGCTGGACCAGAGTGAAGACATAGCAGACAAAACAAGACAAAAAAAATTAAATAATAAGAGTTGTGTGTGTGCATGTGTATTAGTGTATTATTATTATTATTATTTTTTTAGTTAATATATTAACTAATGACAGATTTTTAAACTTATACATATTATTCGTAAAATTAACATGTAGACTTCAGGGACATGTTCTTTGTAGTATAACTGTATTAACTTAAAAGATCTTACATTAATATTATATGTAAAGTATAATTGAAAACAAATATATATTTTTCTACACCAGCAAATTTTAATTACATGTTAAAAAAAAATCAGCAACAAGCTGAATAACTTTCATAGCAAAATGTTTAAAACTGTGTATGGAACTATCTCAGATTTTATTAAAAAGCTTTTTTATATTATTAATTGTTATAAAATGGCAAAAACTTAATTTTGAAGATAGAGATGAGTGTTTTTTCTTAAAGAAATTGTAAATGCTAATAATGAATAAAATCGCCATTAAGTCCAGCACCACTTGAGATATGACTCATGACTCTATAGAGAGTCTAGACCTTTAACCACCAAAATTTAATAGTATCAATGCCCCTAATATACAAACCTTTAAGCAAAACTTCAGAAATTTTTGGCAAAAGGCACAGGAGTTATTAAGCTTCAAAGTGGATAAACAAAATCATGCACACCACACACACAAACAAACAAACAAACAAATCTATACATACAGAAAAAACCCACAATGTTATTTTGCACTTCTGAATGTTTTGAAGTTCNGGGTTTTTACCGAAAGAGACTTCGACTCGAAGAATCTTCCGATGAAGTGCTACCCGTTATTTTTTTGGAGGGGATTCCCCTTCTAATCATTAAGGTTCGTATATTTTCACTGTTCTGCCACCAACTACAACAAACGAAGGTATTATTAAACAAAGTTTACATGTGTGCTGCTGTAATGATAGATACTATGTTTTCGTACATTTTCATCAAAGAAAATTACTGTATATTTCAAATAAAATGACAAAAATTTCGGAGACTAGAACGAATTAATTGCATTTTCATTAATTTCTATGGGAAAAATTGCTTCGGTTATCGAACAATTCAGTTAACGAACGGAGTCGCGGAACGGATTAAGTTCGTTAACCGGGGTTTCACTGTACTGTATTGATCCAAATATAAGTTGACCCTGAATATAAATCAATTCCCAATTTTGGAATCTTTACTTTTTAAAACAAATTAGATCTGAACAAAAGTCAACTGTATATTATTAATTTTATTTGCATATAAAAAATCAGCAATTTTCATTAAAAAACATGGAAAATCATTAAAAAATATTTTATCACTTTCATCTTCATCAGAATGTTCATTGTCATCATCCCAACTTCATTGTCATCAAAGTCATTGGCCTCTTTGATCAGCATATCACCCTCTGTTCTGTCCAAGTTATTGGTATATAACATTTCTTAAAGATCTTTATAATTGCGTTTTCAACAACAATTTTTTTATTATTTTAAGTTATTCTAACCTTTTACAAAAATATGTGAAATTTTTATCTATGTGACTATGAAAACAAATCATTTTCAGTTTATGTACAGTAATTTCTTTATTTTCAAAATTACTTTAATTAAAGGTAAAAATTATTTTTTTTGAATTTGTATTTACAAATATCTGGAAAATCAATCATCAGAAATGTATTCTTGTTTTTAACTTTCCTACTAATTTTTATAAGTTACATTTTAAATCAAATGTAAATGATCAGAAAATTGTATTCAAAGAGTTTGTTTTATACAAAGAAATATAAGTATCAAACACTTTTGTTATAAGCGATAAATTGTAACTTATTGCTTCTTTTTGTCAATATCAATAAAAATAAAATTAATAAAAGTTATAAAGAAAAACATTGAGACAATGTCCTATATGCTGGGAAGTAAGCTGTCTGGCATATTTCATGTGATTTCCATAAAATATACTTATAGTTCATAAAATATTCATTTGGATAGTTTTATGACTATCCAAATGAAACCAATTTTTCCTTATTTTTTTTTATAACTGTCTAAAACATGTTTTATAAAGTCTAAAACATATAATCATATTAAATACATAAATTTATAATTTACACTTTACAACAGTATAAATTTTGCAGTAAATATACAGCAATCTTTACCCACTTTTTGATAACTGTTTGTGTAGTAGAGACCCTGGGAGTGAAATAATAAAATTTTAACAAAATAAAATTTTTGTAAAAAGCTACCAAAACTGACTGAATCTGTTGAATATAAAAACAATCAGCTTAGTTTGGTTGATTGTTCAGAAATAATTAACTAATTATTAATTGGTTATTTACTGTCATTCCAAACATTTAATTCTTGGCATTGTTTGTGAATTGCAGCATGGCAGGTGACAACTTGACTGGCATTTAGCATTACTAAATAAATCGAAGTACTGAATTTTAGCATCAGTTTAACACTGTATATTATGTACCATAGACAGTTATATAAATCAGAGAAAACTTTAACTAGACTCAGAATATAAGTTGAGGCTCAACTATAGGTTGACAGCTATTATTTTATCCTTTTGAAACTGGAGAAAAAACATAGACTAATATTTGGGCCAATATGCCATAAACCTAATTTGTTAAAATATTTTAAATTTCTTTAGAAAAATATTAAAAATAAGTGGGAAACACATCTTCATTATCAATATTTAGAATACAACTGAGTCATTTTTGTCCAATACAATAAATTTTAACTTCTAAATGTTTAAATATCACATAAACTAGCACCTTTTCATATATTAATTAAATGGGCTATTTCCATCATCTGTAAGGCTTAGGAAAAAAGAATTAAATAAAGTTTGTGATATTGCAAAATGTCATTGTTTCAAAGCAAAGTCATGGATGGTTTGATTAATTCTCACCTATATAAGAAGGTTAAGAAAAGAAAACAACATACTAACAATACTAATAGGGGCTCTTTTCTATTTAAAAATATACATTAAACAATTTCTTACTATAATGCAATTGCTTAGGTCAGATAAAGATAAAATCAGTATAGATCATTGGAATGTTCACCTAAAAAATATTATGCTATAATTAGTAGAAATAATACTAACTACTGCACTATATTGACATGACGGATATGTAACACTGAAGTTCAGGTTTCTTAGAACAATCCTCTTTTAATATAGGAACTAAGAGAACATTCTTCAATCCATTTGCTGGAACAGATGTATATTTATATTTTCTCTACATATTCCAATTTAATTAAAACCAGAGATGCTACTTAATTAGAAAATGCTTGAAAAGAAGAACTTGATTCACTGAATAATTTATAATTTCTATAATAAAATAATACAGTGGTATCTTGTACTATAATGACTCATATTTCAAATGTTTTAGAGTTTGAATGTTAAATTAGACAAAAATTCCCTTCAGAGTTCAAACAATGCTTCAAAGATTGAACTGTAGGTGCAATGAATACATGCACTGGAAGTGTAAAACAAGCTTCTAAACAAAGAATATAATGTCAAACTAGCAATTAGGTGTTAAATTTCACAATTGTTATAATTAAATTACACATGTATGTTAAGTAAAGACAGTGTTAAAAATATCCAAAAACTTCCCATTCAACCCAATATAACATTTACTTATTAGTATATGTTTATTAGTATTTTGTTGCTTTCACACACTTCTTGGATGCTATGGCATCCAAGAAGTGTGTTAAAGCAACAAAATACTATGTTGCTTGAAGCAACAACATACTATGTTGTTGCTTCAAGCAACAACATAGTATGTTACACACACTTCAGCAACAAAATACTATGTTGCTGAAGTGTGTGTAAGCAACAAAATACTTTTTTGCTTACACACACTTCTTGGATGCTATGGCATCCAAGAAGTGTGTGAAAGCAACAAAGTCTACCAAATAAAAGGAAAGCTGAAATATTGGCAAGTGACATAAAAAATAAATGTATTGCAAAGCACAAAAGCAGTACATGTGTGGCGGCAGATCTGGTGGCCGTGGAAGTTGACAGTGTGCAAACAGTAAATGCAATTTTCATTTTATTATATGATATTTACATATTTTATTTATTGTTTTAATGTTTTTATTTATTATTAGAATATTTTATTGTGTTATTTTTTTATCTTAAATTATATGTATTTGCTGTTTTAAGTTTATCAAAATGAATATCATTTACAGTCTAGGAATAGATTAATTCACTTTCTGTTATTTCTAATGGGAAAAATATTGGACTTCATTGGCCTCCTGGAACAAATTAAATTTGATGTATGCAGCACCATTGTACATTTATTTGAAGGATAAAGAATTACCACGTATATATATATTTAACATGAATTGTCAATATCTTGTAAAACTTTTTTTTGACAATTGGTTCATTTTAATATATATTCTAAATGATTCCACTTGAAAATGCAAATATATTCTGTGTGTAATAATTGAAAATGATACAATGAAGGCTGAAATATTTCTAAAGTTATTAAATAGTTGTGGTGTCCTTAACAAAAGGACATGTCAACTTTACATTTAAAAATGATGCCAAGTTTTGTTCATTTTGAAGATTGTTTACATTATCCTGACAAATATACAAAGATTCCTTATAATATCTAAATTCATATATCTATTTCCATTACAATGAAAAATTAACCAATAAAATTTTAGTCTATTTTTCTCAATAATTAGGTATATATAATCTAAGACAAGATTTTGATTTAAAAAAAAAGTTGCTTATCATCAATGAAGTCTTTTTATTATAGTTGTATTTAACACACTGAAATATATATATATATTTATTCTAATCAATAGAAAATATTTATTTATTTATCAAACATAAAGTTACCTTTTTTCTAACAGATCCTGGTCCTGTCTGATCACATTCTTCAATTCTTTGATTTGGTTCAATTTTCACAGAAACTGATGACATTGTAAGAGAAGTTGCCGAGTTGGCATTTTCTTCTAGTTTAACTCTTTCAATAAGTCCTTCATTTACTTCATATATAGGAGGTGCTCCTTCTATTCCAATGCCATTTTCACTTCCTGTTAAAGAGGGCCTTCGTGATTCTGAAGGCTTCTGACGCCCTCCTTTCATCTGACGAGGCTATAAAAATTTCATATTATTTAACATTATTTCTGTAATAAGAAAAATTTGTTATCAAAAAAACTCAATATTTTAAAATAAAGAACAAAGGCATGTTAATTTCAGAATTAAATTTAATAAAATAAACCTTAATGAATAATTAATTCAAGAATTGAACCTATCTGTAGTAAAGTGTAAATAAATTTCAAGTTTTGTTTTAAGTATTTTAATCTTTTAAAAGATCAGTTCAAAAACTTCTCAGAATAGAATTATAAATCTAGCATCACAGAATTTTTCAGTGAGAATAAACAAGTCATCTACAATCATAAAACACTCCAAGAATGACTATTATACTGCAATTAGTTTAATGATAGATGGTATGAAAAATTAAACTTTTTGAACTGTAAATTTTTAATACAGAGCCTATAAAAAGAAGAGAAAGATTTACATCTATGCATGTAAGCAACACAAGAAGAATGCAACCAAAATTTATATACTGTTTATGGTAACAATGCTTGCTTATATCTGACAGTTATGAAATGAATTTTTCAATTTCAAGGCAAATATCTGAGTTTGGAAAATTAATCCCCATTAGAAGTGGCCTCGTGCACAAGCTGTAAACAAACAAAACACTGTTGCTATGATGACATTGCTGATAGAAAATTTTAATATCATAGTGTAGTTAATTACACTATGTTTATGATTATATATATACAGGATGATCACAAACAGGATACAGAGCTCTGTACAAACTGTTAAACAAATCTCAACCAAATTAAGTATACAAACTTGTCCTGGTATGCAGCTTCAATTTTGGAAAATAATTTTATTTTAAAATTCAGCCACTATGCAAAGTTTGGCATTGCTGTCCATCTAACATGCATATTACATTTAAAAAATTTTGGGTATAAAAGGAATCACAAATGTTTTTCCAGAACTGCAGCAAAGAAACTGTCTGAACACCACAATCTTTATACAAGATTCATCGCATGTTGGCTTAAATTTGTAAGCCCTACTGCAACATTATTTTTCACTTGAGAAAGTGGTTATCTGGCCATTTCAAATATCATGATTGCCACAATCACCAGAACTAAACATCTATCATTTTTTATTATGGGGCTATATAAAGAGCTCCTTATAAAAGCAATGTTCCCAACCTCATCTTAAACGACCAAAAAAAAATCATGTGTGACAACTCTAAACAAGTCAGTTTTGTTTTGCAGTTGAGTGTATAGTGCAGCAAATGCAGTTTTTAGATTTTGGATATGGAGAGCACATAAAACCATATCTTTGATGTAATTGTCAATTCTACATCAGTAATTGAAATAAAATTATTATATTTTGTTTCTTAACTTTATAAATTCATTAGAAAACATGTGTAATATACACATTAAGAAACAGTACTGTCAAATTTCATCCTAGCAGCTGAATTTTAAAAGAAAATTGCATATTCATGACAGTATGTACTGTACATCAAATTGTACTGATTTGCATAATGTTCTTTCAACAGAAAGTTCTGAAATCTACTCTTTAATTATGATCACCCTATGTACATTGATAACATTGCAATGATTTTTATTATTATATATTAATTTTATATAAATAAAATAACATATATTTATATATTATATATTAATAAAAACAGATCTTTTTATTATTAATAATAAAAATAGATCTTAGTGAACAATATAAAGGAATTGTCATAGTAATTGTTCTAGCTAAGCAGTTCAACTTATTGATGTTACTGAAGATAATGTCAATAAATTAAACTGCTCCAAATATATCATAAACTTTCAAGAACAACTATGTTTGAATTGGTGAAGATAAACCTCTCTGATGTTAGGTGTATTTATTAAATACACCTAACCCTTCATTTTATTCAGTCTATTTTTATGCAATTTTGAAATAGCAATGGTTGACAAAAAAAAAAGAAAAACTAATCTTCCTTTTACACAATCAATTTTTTACATGGAAAAAACATTCATTTGAAAATTTTTAAATTTAACTTTTTGTTAAAATTATGTTATTGTTAAAAATAGTTACTCTTTTTATTGAAAAACTGGTTTTAAAATTACATGTTTCTAAATCAAAAGTTCATTTATCTTTTTTAAGCATAATACAGTACTGTGTATACATCAAAGAACACTGCATGCTGATTTTATGTTTCTTACGCTTCTTGTATATACTATATTTACTATTTACATGCAAATAATATTAATGTTAAATGATGTTAGAATAAAAAAAAAGCTTAGGTTTCTCATGTAAACTGCTTATTTTTTGTTCCATTGAAGTTGTAGATCCTATCAAGCATTTTTCTATTAGGATGTATGTACTGTACTATTTTTTATATCAATATAATTTTTTTGTGCACCATTCTTTGAAACATATCCATTGCACAAAAAGAGGGATATATGTAAATGACACTCAAACTAAAGCTGAAGTGTTTAAAATTTTAAATGTTTTTATAAAGTAAAGAATGTTATCATATCATTTTGTTGTCATTTCAGTTTATAATTTCAGCAAACAAATATGTTTAAAACAAATTTTATCAAATGTTTAACAAAAACTGTTTGAATATATTTATTGTAATTTTCATTTACTTAAAATAACAACATATGTAACTTTCTAAAACACTTTCATAAATACATTAAACTTGAAATAAAAGCTTAAAAAATTTTATTTTACCTTGATTTGCTCTGGTTTCCCATCTCTACAACATTTTGGACATTCCCAACTGTTTGGTAAATCATCATTTACAACTAAGCCATCAGTAGGAAGATCAGGAAATCGTTCTTTTAAACAAGTAGGATGAACAATTTCCCAACACTGCGAGCATTCCATTAAGCTTGAATTTTCATGTTCTTGAGGATTACTAACTTTTTCCCAACCATCTCTTCCACAAATTGTACAGCATGCTGTATGAGGTAATATAGGCTGAAAACAAGACATCTGATGCTGTGAGTATGTACATCAATAACTTAACAGGCAACAATAAAATTAGTAAAACATCTCATTACAATATATTTCACTTTAAATAATATAATAATAATCAGGTTAGTTAAACCATATTATAATAAATTGTTCTAAAAACAACAAATTTCAAATGATTAAAAAACTGGCTTTATAATTACTATATATTAAAATTAAGTTATTAAGTAATTATTAGTCTTATCTTAGAATTAATTGTATAAATTTATTTACTCTTAAAACTGACTAATATTTCAGAAATATTATAACACTAATAAGATTATACAAATACATATTACAAGAACAGACAGATATAAGGACTATACAATGAAATCAAAAATCAATGACAAATGGACTAAATTATGCAATGTGAATTGTTCTTTTTACCATTAATGTTATTGGTATTGTTATTATTGATCTATATAATCATAAGCAAATATTTCACTTAAACCAAAAACAAATATTCAGTTTAAAAAAGGCAAAAAGTATATCATCATATATAAATCAGTTAATTTATCTATGCTGCTGTTTTGTGTTCTGCTAAATATTGTTACCATCACTAAGTGATTTATATCAATTATATAAGAAAAATGAAGATTACTGAACTTCTTTTTCAACCTGAATTCAACCAAACTATTTCAGATTTGTTATAAAAATATTTGTTACACAAGTTTTTATGTGCAGAAAACAGAAGGTATATGCCTAATTAAAAAGTTGTTTTATGTTAAAATAAACTGTCTTATTTTTCATGTCAAAATAAATAACAAGGTTGATTTCCTCACTCAATGACTAACAACAAAAAAAATAATGATAAATACATTGTTACTTGTGTTCTCTTATAAAAAATGAACAAATATATTAAAAATATAAATTATGAAAAAATAAATACATACTGCCATACACTGCCTGCTAATACATGACTGTTTCATTCTTCCTGGACCTCCAAATTTTTTCATATCTTTGCAAAAATGACATTCACCACAATCTGCTCTCAAACATGCTTCACATTTTTTACATCGAGTACGCCGTCTTCTAGAACTACCAGCACCATCTTTGCCATTATTACCTTTTGCATTATTTCCTTTTGATTGTTTAGATGAAGTAGGTATCCCAGTACGAGGTTTGGGTCGAGGTTTCTAAAATTCAATACATTTTATTCACACTTAAAGAAATGCATTAATAAACAATAATTGGTCAATATAACATTTATAGTGAAAAACTCAATTCTAGAACTGGTAAATTTTCACTTCTATTTTGCTTTCTTTTCATGAATTTATGTAATTTATAGTGATACATAAAGTATTCTGATATAAAATATTTATTTGCTATTAAAGAAAATCATCAGTTAGAGATATTGAATTGACTCTTCAGATTACCTGATAAAAAAAACTGTTGGTGATTGAATAATTTAATTATTAAAATGTAAGTTTATTTCTTACTGTTGTTATTGTTTTCATATTTTATTTATTCTTGCATATTTTTATTTATTAATGTTACTATTTGAACAGAAATATTGTTGTTTTGTTTCAACTGATTTAATACTTATATGATATTTTTTTATGTTTCTGATTATCTATAGATTTATAGAGAACCATAAACATCAAAGTATATAAGTATTAATGTAACTTTTATTAAACATAATGCAAGTTTTATTAAATATAAAACAGTCATAAAAATAATATAAACTGATGATAACTCATAGATACTTCATTTTCATATATTTTATCAGAAATATTTTATCTCTAATTTAATATCTACAGAGATTCATGGTTAAAATTCTGATCTTTCTTTCTAACTGAAAACTCAAAGTCAATTTTTTTTAACAAGAATTTGTTGACAGCCATAAGCTAATCAGGTTACTTCCTGGTAAATTATGATCAGCAAAATTCCTGCTGTAGTAGTTTCAATATGGCATCATACAATGTCACAAATATGCAATAACAATATTATCAAGTTATTGACAAAGGAAAAATTAAACTGATGTAAAATTAAACTGATGTTAGCTAGTTAAGTAAAAATTTCGAAAGTGACAGAGTCACAGACAAGTATATGTATAAATGGTATAAATAATGTCAATGTTTATCATGTCAAATTGACTTTTCCAAGACAAAAAAATTAATTTGTTTACTATTATATTTGTCATTATTAGAAAAGATTCTGTTGAAAAATCAATATGAACACATTTCAACCAAATAAGTGTTAAGTAACTCCCAAAAAGATTGATGTTGGAATATAAGGTACATAATTGGCTGTATTTGTTGCATGATTTTAAACAGATAAATTCTGCTTACTTCTGATAAGACTCAACTGCATTGTTTTATTCCAGACACAAAAAGTAAGTAAATCAATTAATTCAAAGTACCATATTAATTTGCTTCAAACAACATGCACAAATCATTTAACAAAAAAAATTTGGAAAGTTTCCAACGATCATCTTTCTCTATGACAATATCTGTTATCCACATAGAGCCTGATGATTCTGACAAAAAAAAAAATTCATACATTACATTATCCTCTAGACCAGTAATGTGTACATTGTAGAGTTGTCTGAAAGAAGAGGCATGAAAATGCTCATAAGTGCACAAAAAAAAACCATTCATGCCTTTATTTTATAATGATTATTTAATTTTTTTTATTTACACACAGTGTACAAACAGTGCAATCTCACTAATTCGAACTGATTTTTCCACTAAATGTTCTAACTGAAAAAAAAAAAATAATAAATTCAACATCAAATTAATTTTTAAAAACAAATTGAATCTATTTGTAATCTTTTCTGACTTGCTTTTATATACATATATAGAGAGTTTATATACATATATAGAGAGGTTCTTGCCCAATTATTTTAAAAACTAATAGGTCAATGACAATAGATCTTTTGCTGATGTATAGTATGTCAAGCATGCACTAAATGATGATGCAAATTCCTGCCTTCTTCAGTCCCTATTATAATGTTAGTCCCTAATGAATTGGGTAAGGCAACATTGTCAATTACAAAGTTGTAGCATATGAAAAAAATATGTATTATCATCTTTTAGTGCATTCCAAAATATCAAATGGAATGCATTACTACCCACATGTGCAGTACTGTCAAATATAAAAATACTGCACAATGTGCACACAGTAGCAATGAATCATTGCACCTATTAAAAACAGAAATTTAACATCCATTAATCAATTTCATGTTCTACTAATGTTATTTTCATTATTATTTTAAAATTAAATGTCATTTTAATTAAAAATATTATCAATAAACTTTTAACATTTATTTCTTATGAATTGCTTATGCTGTTTTGAGTAGTTAAGAAGTAATGAAATTCTTACATAATATTAAGAAAATGTTCATGTTATTAAAATTAATATTTCATTTATTACAGATAAGTATTATTTAATAAGTAAAGAAAAAAACATTAATAATAAATGAGTTTAACTGAACAATAAAATACAAAAATATTTTTTATAGATAATCTGAAATCAAAATTCTTAAGAAATGTATTCAAAAAATCTTAACAGATGAAAAGATTCTTTAGATGGAAAATTTTTATTTTTAGAAGCTAGAATAATCATGTAATTACAAATTATATTAATAATACCGCTTACTTTTTTAATTGAAAGTAAGTGCTTTTTAGATCTGATGCAAAATAAACATTTTTTTACCTTTGAAGACTCTGACCAAAAAAGAACAGGTTTCCCAGTAATAGCAAGTTTTTCATCATCATTTCTATGTTCATGTAACAACATCTAGAAAAAATTTAAATGCTTATTAATGTTTATAAATTAAATAACTTTGACTGAACACAAAAAGTAATTTAATAAATCATTTCTTCTAATTATTTAAAAAGTTCCTTAGGACATGTTGCATATTTCTATTAAAGTGCATTCTTACTAAACCAAACTAATAATTAGTGAAAAATTTGGTTTTATAAGGAAAGTCAAAAGCCGTTAACATTTTCTGAACAGTAAGTTTTCATTTCTAAGTAATTTCTAAATGTTTTTCTTACAGTTAGCAGTACAATTTCTATAACAAGTAAATGTTAATTTTAATATTTTATTTATGCCACTTCCTGTAAGATAACCATTTTAAATAAAGATAAAAATAGTTTTGTCTTGTCATATTAACTGCTCACTTTTCAATCTTTCTTTAGCTCTAATCTTCTCTTACAATGAGGCCTTATACACTTGATGTTACAGATCACAATAAAACATTTTTGAGTTATTCTACAATAACATACATATCAGGCAAAAGCATTTTTCACATAACCTCATCATTTTAAAGATAAAAGGTTACAATAATTTGTCTGCAGCATATAAGTCAAATGTGTAGACAATTCAACAAGTGCTTTTTTATTTCAATCTACTTATAAACAAATTTGTTCGTTCATTAATATTAAAATATTAAGTCAATTTCATATACCATATTTTCCAGCGTGTAAGATGACTTTTAACCCAGGAAAATCTTCTCAAAGGTCGGGGATTGTCTTATATGTCGGATGTCATCATATATGGCAAGTATATCTCAAACTCTATATTTAACTGTAAAAGTCGGGGGTCGTCTAATATGCCGGAAAGTATGGTACGTTATTCCAAATAAAAATAATCTCTTGTCCTGATCAACTCTTCATGTTTCTTCTATACTAAATTTAATTTCTGCTTTATTAAACACCATATTACTACTTTTCATACACACTTTTTTTAAATCCATTAATAATAGACAAATGTTCAACATTTAAAGTCTTAAATGCTCAAAAATCACCTCTTCTTCGTCTATATCGTGTTCAATTATGCAATTGCATCTATTTCTTAAATTTTTCTTAAACATTTCTCATGATTTTTATGAAAATTGAATACATTATTCTTCATTTTAATATATTCTTATAGTATAGTTATATAATCTAAGTTACTAAATACAAGCAATATTAAGCATTCATCAGACAATCACTAGATCAATAAACTTAGGAAAAAAGCTCTGCTATGATAAAATTTTTAATTAAAAAAAGCATTTATCTTTCATAAAAATACAAAAATGCTTAGTTAAGTTTGGAGGAGAGAACCCAGTTTCTTGTCAAGACTTTATGGAGACTATCAGAATTTTGATGATATTGCCAATATTAAGTTAAGTATATTGATGAAATGATAGAAAATTGTTCCATGATAAACACTTATGAAAATTAATCTGGCAACTTTCTTCACTTTGTTATTCAATGTAAATCTTCATTCTTTAAAGTGCTAAGAACCTTTCTTTGCCAGTTCATTGGTGTTTAAGTGTAGTAGTTGTTATTTAAGAATCTAAAGATATGGAAATTGCACAAAGACAGTTCTAGGCATATTCTCACTTTCATTTTAAAACTTAATCAATATTTTATATAATATATGAAGTTTTTCATCATTTAAACCCTTAATATGTAGTTCAAATTGATTAGCTAATACAATATTCTATTCATAATGACAAATATTTATAAATGATAGTAGTACTTTTTTTTATATAAAATATTTTTTTAAAAATTGTTTAAAATTCACATCGTTTGCATGCTCACAAAATTTTTTTAATATCTCTCTTAAAAATAAAATACTGCTATTATAAATAAAACAGCACATACACTTTCAATAATTTAGTTAAACATTTTTTAAAATAATATATTATATACTCAAAAATACCTTAACATCTGTAAGAAGATGATCTGGATTACGAATTAAATCTGGAACATATCTCTTATTAACAGGAAGTTGTTGAAGCCATCTCAAAATAGCCTAAATTTTATAAAATGTAAAATTTTAATAAATGTATTTAAAAAGTTAATAAATATTTACATTAATGCTACACACATTTTAAATAATCTGTATTTACATGTAATAATCAAATAAATGCTTTTATTTAGAGAATGAAAATATGCTACAAAAATATATAAAAATAAATTAATTTAAATATTTAATTCTATAAGCTCAAAGCAAGAGTAATTATAATTATATTACAATCTAATTATTCGCTGTAACAACAATTATAGCCAATCAAAAAAATTAATATGTACAATTCTTCTAAAATGAATTTAATGATTAATATTAATACAAGATGGTGACCTAACCTTTATCTAGTAGAAATTACTTAGTTACAATGATTAAAATCTGGCAAAAAGATAGCCCAAAAAAGTTCCAACTTTTATATATGTAACTTCAAAATATTTTGATAAACTGGATTTATCACTTTCCTATCTATGGACAGTCTTGCTTGTTATGCCAGATTTCCTCTGAAAGATGAGGCCATTTGTTCACAGTTTTACATGTTTTTTGAAAGAGCAGGATGGTTTTGACTATCTTTATAGGAAGGAAGTATAGCTAATAAAAAATTATCATTTCCAACTCTAAATGGCACATATTGATTAACATTCGATGTTTTGCAAAATGGCTACATGCAGAAAATTATTGATTGATTAAGGTTTATATTTAATAAATGTTGAATGTTCGTCTTCAATTTCTACACTTCCAGTAGCATTACTATTTGTTAATTTAAGTGGTAATCTTGGTACAGCAGATCTGAATGAATTTTCTATTTCAGATGGAATTCTACGATTATTTAATCCAAGGTCAGCTTGCCCAAAAGAAGTGACAAATAAAAGTTTTGAAGCTTTTGTTTTCTATCCCAGTTGGTGTCAAACTTTTTAAATTAAAAAAAAAATGTTTTATTCTAATTTTTAAAACATTTTTTCTTTTTAAGCATTATTCTGTTAATTGTCCATGTTAAAAAAATACAAAGAAACAAATCCCAAAATATTATGACAATTAAGTTATTACTGGTTCTTTTTTTAAATGATTTTTTGAAAATAACCAAAATCCCCCACCTCATCTGCACAGGCATTTTACAAGACTTATCCTCAATCCAGGAAGTGTTAAATAGTCTCAGAGGTTTTGAGTCATCAAGTAAAATAAAAGCAGCACTGCAGGAGACATTACAGATGGTTGCAAAAAATGGCTTACAGCAATGCTTCCAGAAGCTGTATGAGCACTGGAAAAATGTATCAAAACCCAAGGAAATTAGTTTAAAGGTACAATAGTGTTTTAAACCAATCAAGGCAAAGAACTAAATGCCAAGTCCCCAAACTTTTAGATACTACTATACAAATTTTTTCTTTTTTGTAAATCATACCAAAAAAAATGGAACCACCTACCAAAAAGTAACTCCACTCCAAGTCTTATAATGCTATTTATTTATATATACTATCATTATAATTAATGATGCAGTTTTCAAATTTTAAAGATTTTTTTATCATTAATAAAAATCATTAAAACTGTTTAAAAAAAACAAATAATACTTACTTTCAATCCGTTTAATTCATACTTTGTTAAATGAACATATGGTCTTTGAGAAACTTGTTGAGTTCTTGGATTACATTTTGCATGTTCGTCTTCAATTTCTACACTTCCAGTAGCATTACCATTTGTTAATTTAAGTGGTAATCTTGGTACAGCAGATCTGAATGAATTTTCTATTTCAGGTGGAATTCTACGACTATTTATTACAGTTGGAAATTTTGGACCTTCGACACCAACTTTCATTAACTGTGGTTTTGGTTCAAGTGGGGTTGGTAATTTTCCTGCACAACTAAATAATTTTAGTTCACCATTAACTTCTGACAAACTAAGATTAGGTAATGGATTGATAGGAGCTGTTAGTTTAGTCAAAGGAGATGGTAACAATTTTTCTGGTTTAAAGCCATTCAAGAGAGAAGTATCAGGCTCAATTGGTTCTCCATCTTCTGTACACAACAGATGAGATTTCCCAATTACACACTGAACATATCTTTGAAGTACATACCATAACATTTCCATATAAAATGGATATCTAAATTTCAATGGTACCTGTAAGAAATGAAAAAGAAAATATATACATATATATTGAAATTCATCTCAATGAATTCCTCCATAACAAATTCTTGTCATAAAACATGATCATTAACAAAATATTGAAAATAAGTAAGTAAATACATATGTGGCTAATTATTAACTTTTTTGTGATGGTACTTATTAGTCACTGAAAAATGAATAAACTAAAATATATAGTAAAAATAATTATACAGTGGGTGATTGGTTAATGAACAGATCGGATAATGAACAAATCAGATAATGAACACTTTAGCAAAAGATTTTTATGTTCGGACAACAAACACATGATCAGTTAATGAACACCCCACAGAACAAACACAAGAAGTGACGTAAAATAATTAATACCGATTGCTCTTCGGGCAACAATTTGAAACTTTTTGGAGTGTGGGAGACATTAACATCGATACTCAAGCCGGTATATACCGATTGGATAGTATTCCTTCGAACTTTGAAACTCTCCCTTGTAATTCTAGTCTTTTATTTTTCTAACAAAACAATTCTTTTATGTATTTGCGAGACTGTCAGGTAGGCACTCATTAAGTTTTGCGTCTGTTTTTCTTTTCAAAAGGTGAGAGTATAATATCACACTAGAAAGTGGGCAGAAGATGCATAATGTTGCTAGGCAGTACGATATGAACAGGTCTACAGTAGGCCACAGTTCAGTCTTATTTAAGAAACATACTGTATAATCAAGAAGATTCAAGCGGCTAAAGGAGTAACAAAAATCACATCTGAGAAATAAAGAACATCGAAGAGTTCATAATGAAACCCGAAACGGATCTGATGGCAGAAGAACGCCAAGAAACTCGGCGAGATATATTTTCTTCTGAAAAAAAAGGATTAATGCCGATATCCATTATTAAAGATCCTTTGAAGAAGTGGGAAAATGTCAAAACAACAGTCTTAGAATGGCATCCAAACCAGGTTGAAGCTTGGGGATTTCTATAATTGGAATGCTATTAATTACTTATGAAAAATGCTGAAGAGAGAAAAGCAATCGACATTAGACAGATTCTTTAACCCTTTCAAACAGAAAAAACATGACTAATAAAAATGCAAGACTGTGTATGTATGTATTTTTATTATTACATATAAATAAATGTAGTAAGAAAGTATATATTTTTTTATTTTTGGGGGTCTCCAGAACGAATTAATTAAATTCCCATTAAAACCTATGGTAAATCGATAATCGGTTAACGAACAATTCGGATAGCAAACAAAGTCTTGGAATGGATTATGTTTGTTAACTGATCACCCACTGTATTTTAACTAAATTTTTGTGAAATCTCTTAATCTGAATGCTTTTAAAATTCTGAATTGTGTAAAATATGAGGCCTCTCAATTACAACTGATTTTCTGCATTATTTATTATTACATTAAATAGATATATATGTTAGGGTCAAAGACAAAACATGCACTATGAACAGAAAAAACAATTAAATGCATTGTGGCTTTATAGAAAAACATACAACAAAAAATTTTGCAGTCTGGTTACTTATAAAGACCACAATGCATTCCATTATTTTAAAAATGCCATGATAAGAAATATGTATCATGACTGTTAAAAAAGAATAAGTACAATGCAATATGACCATTTCTTGCTTATTCTGTAGTAGAAAAAAATAGAGTTCAAGATCTAACTGACTTAAATATGTATGATAATTAAGAACAATGGCAAAGCTAATTTGTTTTTATACAAACCATTAGAATTACAGTTGATATCTTTTAAACAATATTCTTATAACTGCAGATTACAAAACCTTGCTTTCTTCTGGATGTTATATTTCAGACTGACCAAAAACATAATAAACTTGAAAGCACATCATGTACATTGATGTTATCAGCAGTTCTAAACACATTGCAAGCATAGAATGCTTAAAAAAGCTTCTTTAAATGACTTGACATCAGTGACAACTGTCAGCATATTTCTTGTTCAAGCCATGTTCAACTCAAATGTTCAAAATGCAGTCATGGGCTGTTTGCTGATGTGATGTTAGATTTTGAACTGACTTTTGCTCTTCTTCCTCAATGTGATTAAGATGATAGATTGTTGTATGAGTGTGTGATAAAAATGCTTCCTTATTGTTTCTACAACAACACATTGTAATATGTTAATAATTCTGAAACATGCTCTGGCTATTTTTTTTTAAAGACAAGATATGAATTTCACATCATAATATATTTTAAACTTTCAGAATGCATCATGGCTCTTTATAAGCAGCCAAGATACAAAATTTCTTATGACTATTTCTGTAAAACCACAATGCACTCTGCTCATTTTTTCTGTTCATTGAATATATTCAATCTTTGAGCTTAACATCATTCATATAATATATATATATATATACAGTAAAACCTGTCTATGGCGACCACCCATGGTTCCTTCAAAAAGAGGTCTTTTAAACAGGTGGTTGTCCAATACAGGTTGTCCTGTAATAATGTATTTCCGTACGTATTTTGCACACTTTTTAGCCTTTCTACTAAGCAAAACTAGAGATGGCAAAAATAAGCAAATTTTTTCAATGATAGGGATATATTGGTATTGTAATTTATTCTTATTGGATACTGTAACTTGATTTACAGAATTTGTCGTTATTTTATAAGACAGATTTAATACCAATATTTTAAAGATTAATACAATAGTTGCATTTTCTCTATTATAATGCACATTTTCTTTTTTCCGATTTAATTCAACTCAGTTCTTTTCGTTCATTCCTCAGTTACGTGTATTACGTCATCGATATACAAGCGCGTGGTATCTCTACATCACTTTGGTTTTGGTATTCGTTAGTTTAATGTTATTTTAACTTTAAAAATACTGTATTTTTTATTATTTAATATTTTCTTAAGTACAATCAAAAACAATTAATTAATAATAAAACAATTTTTTATTATGTCTCATTATACGATTTCATTACATTCCGCGATTGTCATTGCGGAATCAAAAAAGGAAGGTTGCCCTCAAAACTGATTTTTGCATTAACGTGTTTAATGTGTTTTTGAATATTTTGCATGCGAAAATTACTTGGATATTATTTTTCTAAAAATACCGTGGAAATAATGTAGACTGATACAGAAACTATTTATCGCACATGTACTGTATATGAGCTTCAAAAAAAAAATAATAATAATAATAATAATAATTAAATAAAATAAATCTTATCAAACAATGAGATCAACCAATTAATTGTATCATGTACAGTACAATATTTTATACCCCTAAGGAAAATACTGTAAGTGTACGGTAAAATAAATTTCGTTTTCCCATTTAAACTTTGCCACTAATTGCCGTTGTGATAAACCATTTTCACTTTCTCTGATAATTTTAACACGATCTTTAACGACAGCACTTTGCATTTCTTTCATTTTTTGGACATTTTCCAACAAACTGAAATGAATTTCCTTTGTTACTAGACTAATTCATTAACACCTGCACCTAATTTCAAGGCTGGGAGAAGTGCCCGAGGTAGGTTCGAACAAGAGTTTAGACTAATTCATTATATTAGGAGAGGAAAACGTTGTTAAGATGGGTTCGAACAATAGTTTAGACCAGATACATTCGCGAAAGTGGTCACTTATTACAGTTATTGTATGTTGTTTCGGACCAAAAATCAATGCCCGCGGTCGCATTACACAGGTGGTTGTTTAATACAGGTAACTTACACAAAGACTCTATGGATAAACTATTCCGTGCCAGAACTTTTTGCTCGTTTTGACAGGTGCCCTTTGAATGCAGGTAATCGCCTAAGCAGTTTTTACTGTATATAAATTATTTTGATAGATTTTGACAATGTACCACTTAGGCAAACAACATCACTAAAACCCAATGCATTATAAAACTACAAGCCAACCAATGCCGTATGTCATCAGGCTAGATAACGACTATAAATACTAATAAATTATGAAACAATTTGGTACTAGAGACAGGTGTTAGGTGCCATCTCTTAATAAATTTAATAATTATAATTTTTTAATTAAATTAGTTCCACATTTTTAATTAAAAATTATAATTATTAAATTTATTAAGATGGCACCTAACACTCCCTCTAATACTAAACTGTTTCATAATTTATTAGTATTTATAGCCACTATCTAGCCTAATGACATATGGCATTGGTTGGCTGGTAGTTTTATATCATTTAAGTTAAGCTGAACATGATTTTGTCACAGACCATTAATAAATAGTTATAATTTTCTAATTTATATTTTTAAAATGCAAATACTTGAATTATTTAAAATCAAACTCATCTGTTATAGAAAAGAACACCATGTGTAATTAATATCTTATCAGAAAAATATGCTCCTTTGTAATATTTTATCAATTTCATATGAATATGTTTAAACATACAATTTTATTATGTTATATTTCTGAATTGATACTATATTACAAGACACTTATTTTTAAAATATAATTCATACAGAATTTCATTACAACATAAAAATAATGTTAAAATTTCAATTCCAATGATTTAAATGCTGTGTAGAATAATATGCTATGTTTATTAATTAATAAAACAAACAGGACAGCAATAATACATTAAAATATTCAATAAATAGAATAAATAACAAATATCTTCATAATTCATACTTTCTGAACATCTCAGGAACACAACAGTCTCTATAGTGAAATTGATCTTTTATTAGAGGCTACTTATTCTATTTTATTCAATATTTTTATGAATTTTTAAATTATGGTTTTTTTATTCTCTCTTTTCTTTTCAAAATATCACAATGAAACAAATTATATAAAAATATAGAAGAGTAATAGTTAATATAAATTACTTTAGAAATATGAAAACATTTTTAATTCTTACATGAGTAACATCTTCCACTTCAGCAATTCTTAACTGTTTTTCAATTCCAAAACTATGGAGGAAATTTCCTCCAAATACAAGAGTATCTTCTGGAGTAAATACAGCATGAATCCATCCTGTAAAATATTTCTATACTTTAACAACACATTGCTAATTATTATTTGTCATGATTATGCTTAGCTTAATTAAATTATTACATGTGTTTATATGTAAATTTCTGTTTTTATACTTGTGTTTAATAATATATTTTATAAGAACCAATATAATAAACAACCTTTCCAGATAAAATCCTTCTTGTGTAAAATAGACTAAAATGCTTTTATAGAATGCAATTTATGTTTTTGAAACTTAACACAACTTTTCTATAGCAACAAAATAAACTTTTCAATAAAAAGAATTATATTTATTTCTTTATAAAATTTTTCCTCAACATTATTTAAAGCAACTTTTAGTAATTTCATAGAAAAGTTATTACTTTAATTTCTTTAATAATTTGTCTGACAAATTATACATTCATTCAAAACCATAATTGTCTTTTTAAGAAAAACACAAATGAAAAGTGAGAAAAAAGTTTTGTATACAGTCGACCCCCTATAACACGAGTTCCTATAGTTCAGATTCCTATATCACGGCGAAAAAATTGCGACAGTATTCATACAAACATGCTAAAAAAAACTCCTATAATTCGACAAAACGTCATCGCCGACTAGTGTTGCGACAGAATTGCACAAACCGTTTAGTTTAAACAAGCAGCGGACCTACTAAAAACCATTTATTATTTAACATCCATAAAAATTATNAATTAAATAAAATAAATCTTATCAAACAATGAGATCAACCAATTAATTGTATCATGTACAGTACAATATTTTATACCCCTAAGGAAAATACTGTAAGTGTACGGTAAAATAAATTTCGTTTTCCCATTTAAACTTTGCCACTAATTGCCGTTGTGATAAACCATTTTCACTTTCTCTGATAATTTTAACACGATCTTTAACGACAGCACTTTGCATTTCTTTCATTTTTTGGACATTTTCCAACAAACTGAAATGAATTTCCTTTGTTACTAGACTAATTCATTAACACCTGCACCTAATTTCAAGGCTGGGAGAAGTGCCCGAGGTAGGTTCGAACAAGAGTTTAGACTAATTCATTATATTAGGAGAGGAAAACGTTGTTAAGATGGGTTCGAACAATAGTTTAGACCAGATACATTCGCGAAAGTGGTCACTTATTACAGTTATTGTATGTTGTTTCGGACCAAAAATCAATGCCCGCGGTCGCATTACACAGGTGGTCGTTTAATACAGGTAACTTACACAAAGACTCTATGGATAAACTATTCCGTGCCAGAACTTTTTGCTCGTTTTGACAGGTGCCCTTTGAATGCAGGTAATCGCCTAAGCAGTTTTTACTGTATATAAATTATTTTGATAGATTTTGACAATGTACCACTTAGGCAAACAACATCACTAAAACCCAATGCATTATAAAACTACAAGCCAACCAATGCCGTATGTCATCAGGCTAGATAACGACTATAAATACTAATAAATTATGAAACAATTTGGTACTAGAGACAGGTGTTAGGTGCCATCTCTTAATAAATTTAATAATTATAATTTTTTAATTAAATTAGTTCCACATTTTTAATTAAAAATTATAATTATTAAATTTATTAAGATGGCACCTAACACTCCCTCTAATACTAAACTGTTTCATAATTTATTAGTATTTATAGCCACTATCTAGCCTAATGACATATGGCATTGGTTGGCTGGTAGTTTTATATCATTTAAGTTAAGCTGAACATGATTTTGTCACAGACCATTAATAAATAGTTATAATTTTCTAATTTATATTTTTAAAATGCAAATACTTGAATTATTTAAAATCAAACTCATCTGTTATAGAAAAGAACACCATGTGTAATTAATATCTTATCAGAAAAATATGCTCCTTTGTAATATTTTATCAATTTCATATGAATATGTTTAAACATACAATTTTATTATGTTATATTTCTGAATTGATACTATATTACAAGACACTTATTTTTAAAATATAATTCATACAGAATTTCATTACAACATAAAAATAATGTTAAAATTTCAATTCCAATGATTTAAATGCTGTGTAGAATAATATGCTATGTTTATTAATTAATAAAACAAACAGGACAGCAATAATACATTAAAATATTCAATAAATAGAATAAATAACAAATATCTTCATAATTCATACTTTCTGAACATCTCAGGAACACAACAGTCTCTATAGTGAAATTGATCTTTTATTAGAGGCTACTTATTCTATTTTATTCAATATTTTTATGAATTTTTAAATTATGGTTTTTTTATTCTCTCTTTTCTTTTCAAAATATCACAATGAAACAAATTATATAAAAATATAGAAGAGTAATAGTTAATATAAATTACTTTAGAAATATGAAAACATTTTTAATTCTTACATGAGTAACATCTTCCACTTCAGCAATTCTTAACTGTTTTTCAATTCCAAAACTATGGAGGAAATTTCCTCCAAATACAAGAGTATCTTCTGGAGTAAATACAGCATGAATCCATCCTGTAAAATATTTCTATACTTTAACAACACATTGCTAATTATTATTTGTCATGATTATGCTTAGCTTAATTAAATTATTACATGTGTTTATATGTAAATTTCTGTTTTTATACTTGTGTTTAATAATATATTTTATAAGAACCAATATAATAAACAACCTTTCCAGATAAAATCCTTCTTGTGTAAAATAGACTAAAATGCTTTTATAGAATGCAATTTATGTTTTTGAAACTTAACACAACTTTTCTATAGCAACAAAATAAACTTTTCAATAAAAAGAATTATATTTATTTCTTTATAAAATTTTTCCTCAACATTATTTAAAGCAACTTTTAGTAATTTCATAGAAAAGTTATTACTTTAATTTCTTTAATAATTTGTCTGACAAATTATACATTCATTCAAAACCATAATTGTCTTTTTAAGAAAAACACAAATGAAAAGTGAGAAAAAAGTTTTGTATACAGTCGACCCCCTATAACACGAGTTCCTATAGTTCAGATTCCTATATCACGGCGAAAAAATTGCGACAGTATTCATACAAACATGCTAAAAAAAACTCCTATAATTCGACAAAACGTCATCGCCGACTAGTGTTGCGACAGAATTGCACAAACCGTTTAGTTTAAACAAGCAGCGGACCTACTAAAAACCATTTATTATTTAACATCCATAAAAATTATATTTATATTAATGATGTCTCTAAAGTTCAGCAAATTTTTCGCAAAAAAAAAATAATTTATCAGGAAGCATGCGAGCGCCATTCGATGACAAGCTCCACGACGAAAACAAGCTTAAACAATGGCGTAGTCGAACGGTGCACACTCGGTAAGTAATCCTACAATTTTTTGTTTATAGCATAGTTTATATGGATTATTCCCAAAAAATTATACGTATTTTGGAAATGTTGAGTTGAATTAGTCTAGAATCGATTAATTTTATGGAAGGAAACCTTTCAAACAGCTGTAGTCTATAAACTGCATACGTGCCGGGCTGTGATTGACTGTACTCGTAAAAGCTGGATTCATAAAACTCGGAACATATCTACCGTGTTACAGGGGGGGTCGACTGTATAAGATATTATTCAAATTAAAGATTCCTATTCAGAGCAGTTAGCAGAAAACCAGTAGGCAAAACACCACCATACTTGGTGTTCCATTTTCAGATCTTAGGAAGAGAGTTTAACAATTAAAAAAATAGTTCAAATATTTATTGATAGTAAAAATATGCTGAAAGATAAAAACTGGAAGAAATTTACAGAAGAGTAAACTGGAAACTGAACCATACTCAACAGCATATGAAATTTAAATCAATAATTCTTATTGAAATTCATTTCATACATTAATTACAGCAATTGATTATGTATCACAAAGAGCTGACTAAAGTTTCAGAGAGTTGTCAAAGCTTATCAAATGCAGTGTTCAATGGAGTGACCATTGTGCAGAATCAAAAGCTGATACTGCAACAAAATTTATGTTTAAATTTTTATAAAATTTTCAATTAACTAGAAAACAACAATCAGAGGGTTTTATGAAATAATTTTAAAATATTATTATTAATTATTATTACAGTAGAGTGTCGGTTATCCAAAAGCATTCCAGTCAGCAAATTTAAATTTTCGCTAGTGCTGTGGCGCTGCAATCTTTGGCTATATCTTGAGCTACTCCAATATTTTTTTGGTGTGTGTGTGTGTGTGTGTGTGTTAGCTGGCAGCACTGGCACTTTTGTGTGGTGTTTTTCTGAGAATTGTGTGTCATGCTGAATTGAATGTTTTTGATACTAGATCAACTTCTAAAGTATATTTTTTTGGTTTTTATATTTTGCAATGTATTTATTTTGTTTGTACAAAATAAAAAAAAATAATTTTTGACGATACAATAACCACGATTATTATTTTAAAAAGTTTTCATTAGGCTTAACATCAATGAAAATTTAACACGAAGCAACACGCAACGGAGAAAAATTTCATCATGGGATAGGTTAATATATTTTTTTGTACATAATCGGTTATCCAAAAAATAAGTTATCCGAACAACCCCAGTCCCCAACTGATTCGGATAAACGATGCTCTACTGTATATATAATTGAAACAAAAACTAACCTGTTGGTATAAAGAAAGTATAACCAGCAAAAAGATGAACTCTTGCACATTTTTCAACTGTATCGCCAAAAAATACATCACCCTGTTTACCAGATAATACCCACTGTTCATAAAGTTGCAAATTATGTTCAGTTGGTGGAATCAACCAAAACACCTAGAATGTATGTTAATTTAGTTAAAAATAAAAACTTCAAACTTATCAATAACTTAAAACTAAACTTTACAAATATAATTTAAATTTTTGATTCATTTTCATTTATCTTAAGTACAATTTTATAAATCCTTTTTTATTTTGACAAGTGATTTATTAATAAAATATGAGTAAAATAATTACAAGTAGTTTCATTTAAAAAAAAAACAAATGCTTTATATAACTACATTATTCAATTACTTTCTCATAAAATCACACTTATATTAAGTATCAAAGACAAGCAAATATTTAATATTCAAATATATAATGTAATATAAGGTTTATATCCATAAATTATGGCAGATAGCAATCAATATAAATAATAATTTTAAATTATTTACTTTAAATGCAAGATAATCATAAAATTCTTTAACACTTTTAAATAATAATTAAAAATCTAATAACTTTAGATAAAGCTTAGTTATTATTTATTAATGCAATTGATTATACAAGTTTTCTAATGTGAAAAAATTAATTAATTAATTAACCCTTAAGCCCATAACTCAAGATATCTCGGGCAAGTTACATAGCGTTACATAAAACGCGGTCCTTAAGGCCATTTTTGAAAAATTTTTTTTTTGAATTTTTGGAATGTTTTTTAAGTCTCCAAATTTTTTCAAATTATTTTTCCTGCGCGAAAAAATTTTATCGCGATTTTAATTTACCTTAATGACGCATGCTTCACGCTTAATTGCTTTTTAATTGTTTTTTAATGGGAGTTTGATATCAAATTTCATTCATCGTTCTAAAGTTGTAGTGCACGGATTTTCATTCAGTAAAGTTATTTAAAGCTAGTTTCTGATGTCAAAAACGACCCCTGATAGTTATNTATTTGACCAAAATGGTTGATATATAATTCAATAAAATATTTATTTATTATAAAAATATTGTTTTTTTTTTTCCATGGAAAAAAACCGAAATTACTTTCCGAACAACCCAATAAAATTATCACAGATAATTCTACAAAATTGTGATAGTAGAAATTGAATATGTCGTCTTAGTGTATCAAACCTTTTCTGTAAAATTAACGCTTTAAAAAATTTTTCATTACAGAGGTACCTCAGGATACAAACGCCCCAGATACGAAATTTTCAGGATACGCCATGAAATTCCAACACATTTTTGCTCCACGATACGAACAAAAACTCACCATACAACGTTACATTAGTTTGCAGTGCCATTTTTTATTCACTTCTGTTCATTGGTCTTAGTCAGCATGCTTGCTTCGTCGTGGAAGGATCTCGCTCGATAAAGGAAATCTTGAGGTATTATCAGAAAGTGACTGATTTTATTGAAAAGAAACATCCCAAAAAGTTTTACACTAGCTGTATTGCTGCTCAGAGTAATGACATTCGCCTAAGTCATTTTAGAAACATTTTAAAAAGTAGGTAAAGCAAACCTCTTTGGATACATATTTTACCAAGTGACCTCTATCCAGTGAAAGTGCTGGTAGAAGTGAAGGAAAGAAAGCAAAAAGCAGTGAATAAAAATTAAAATATATATATATAAAACAACACTAATTTTTTTTTATCTTTTCTAAGTTATTAAGTTTTAGTATCATTTTCCTTCTCCCTCTCTTCCGCCACTAGTTTACACCACCACCGTCGTCTATCCTCAAAGGTAAAGTGCAAGTAAAACTACATTTTTTTTTATCAATTATTATTCTATTATGGTTATTTCTACATTTACAACTACAAAACGCATTTTTCAGTGTTTTCCTTACTATAGTTGTTTTTTTTTTTAATGTACTACTTAATTTTAATTTGAGTGTGTTTTTCATGTTGGAACAAATTATTTGGTTTTACATGTAATCGTATGGGGAAAAATGATTCACTTTACGACATTTTTATGATACAATCTCAGTTTTGGAACAGATTAATTTCATATCCTGAGGTACTGCAGTATTAGATATCATTAAAACTAAATAGTAATTTTTGTTTTTCAATAATTGACAGACTTTAATATTACATATCCATAATGTGTAGTATTTTAATTATTTAATTTATTCATAGGGACATAATTAGAGAAGCCTTTTCTAGTTTTATGTATGCACTATTATTTATTACGTAGTAAATTTTAATAATTTATAGTTCAACATTACACTACATAAATTCATTTTTATTTAAAGCCATAGAAACTATTGTTTTTCTTATTATAATAAACTNAAGGCTATAATTAAATATTAGAAATTAATTAATTTGACTAGTGGTAGGCAGTTATGCATTCATCTCATATTAAGTTTAATAATTACAAATAATTAATTTTTAATTTAGGCATTTCTAAAATTTAATTTGGAATTGGTCATTAAATTTAATACAGATGGCAGAATAACTGCCTAACTCTAGTCAAATTAATCAATTTTTAATATTTAGTTATAGTCTTTACATAGCCCAAGAATTTCGCATATCGTTTGGAGTGTTTATTATATAACAGATTATGGTTGTTGATGTTTGTATGTACAGGTAGGCCTCCTACAATGTGGTAGATACGTTCCTTGAAAATACCACGTTGTGGGAAATCGCGTTATAGGAGACACCAACTCAATACAAAAACTGGGATTCGGTTCTAAAAAAAGAAAAACTTGGCGTTTGAATGGCGTTGTTTGGATTTTTCAAACCAGCCATTGGTAGCCACGAATTTAACACTGGTTTCATCAGCTGACCAGTGGCGTAGCGTAGTGGGGGCAGCAGGGGCAGCCTGCCCCAGGTGGCACTTTTAGGAGGCGACAAAATTTCACAATAAATAATAATAATAATATCATCTTGTAAAAATTTGAACCATTTCATTTCATATTTTTGTCGCACCTAAGATTCGGACCGATTGAAATGAGCACGGAATTGTTCGTTACTTATTCTGTGACGAAACTGAATTTTAGTCTTTTAAATTGATATACCTAAATAGGGGGGCAGCGAAATTTTCCTCCACCCCGGGCGGCTGACACCCACGCTACGCCACTGCAGCTAACAACTGTCCCATTTGTTTTAAATAATCAAATATTTTTAAGGCTTTGTGTTTAAGTGCAGTTTTATTTAAAGGCAACCATTTCTTGTTCATATCTTCTACCCATAATATTAGCACTTGTTCCATTTTTTACATTATAAGTGCTCTCAGACTAGCAACATTTTTCGCAAGAATAGATGATCTGGATGCGACCAAATTTCTAATCTTTTCTCCCGATTGCTTAATCGACCGAATAGTCGACTCATTTAAACTAAAATGCCTACTAATATCAGCTATCCGCTCTTGATTTTTAATTTGATCTAAAATTTCTATCTTTGAAGAGTTATAAATTTCCTTTTTAACGACGGTCCTTTCTTTTCATTCGGCATTGTTATGGCTAAAAATTTTTCAGTCAGTTTTGTGGACAGTAAAAATTGCAAAAAATAACTTTACTTCACTATGTTGTTAAAAATATACACCCAATAGAAGTTTATACTGTATTTTGGACCATTTTTGCTGTCCCCACTTATTGAAACAGTATAAATGATGGAAAATTTAGTGATATATTTGAGTGCTTACAGTAACTGATGCACATCTGTCTAGAAACCGGTCTTCCCCTGAAACTTTCAACGGAATAAATAACACGCCAACAGCGACAAACAGCTGTTTTCAAGGACATTTAGTTCTGTATGCTGAACTGCGGTTCGTATCACGTGATCTGTTGCGATTTTTCTATTATGTGAAAGATAATTTGTTTCTAAATACCGTAAACCGTGTTGTAAGAAAATTTCCGCATTTTTCCAACCGCGTTGGAGCGAAAATGCGTTGTAAAAATACCACGTTGTAGGAGGCCTGCCTGTAATATGTCTGAACACAAGTTTGGAAAAATGTGTGATCACAAGCAACACTAAGATGCTAGAGGAATGAATGCTGAACACAGAATGATGTAGCATGCCCACAATTCAGGAATTCCCCTCCCCTCATCATTGGTTAGGTGAAACGTCGCTTATTAAGCAAATCATATTTTTACAATCTATTTTGCTTGTTATGTGAATTATTCGTTATAAGATATGCTCATTAAGCAAGGTTCCACTGTATTTAATAAATTTTAATAATACTGTGAGAATCTGGGTCAAATACAAGGTCTGTTCAAAAAGTATCAGACCTTTTTTTTTCCACGTAAACCAATGATGCGAGAGAGGCCTCCTTCAGTGGAGTTGTGGAGGGGACAGTCATGCACAGCCCTGAATTTTTTCCCGCCTGCAGGAAGCGTCAGTTGTTGGCAATCGGCCTATGAGTGAGGTCATGTAGTGCACTCTCGTCGGATTTCACTAAGCTGGAAAATGACTGAACAACGTGAGCAGCGATATTACATCAAATTTTGCCAAAAAACCTTGGCGATACCCAGGCGTAAACCATTCGCAAGATTCAGCAGGCTTTCGGGGACGATCCTCGAGGCCAAAAAAAGCACGGCAGGTCCGCAGCAATATCAAAGGTCATGTTGACAGTTCTTTCGACTCTCGTGGGGTGGTGTGTCGTGAGTACGCACCACAAGGCCAAACCATCGCAAAGGAGTACTACCAGGAGGTCCTTCGTCGTCTTTCCAATGCTGTGCGACGCAAACGACCGGATCTGTGGTCGATCAAAACTTGGCAGCTCTATCGTGATAACGCATCCGCCCATTCTGCGCATCTGATTTGGGCTTTCGTCGCCAAACACAATACTCCTGTAGTTCGTCACGCTCCGTACTCTCTCCACATGGCTCCATGTGACCTTTGGCTATTTCTCAAGCTGAAAATGCCGCTAAAAGGAACCCAAATTTAGCCGAGAGAAGACATCATGCGAAATGCGACGGACCGGCTGATAACCATTCCAAAAGATGCGTTCCAGCAGTGTTTCCAGCAATGGCAGGAATGCTGGGAGAAGTGTATACACTACAAAGGAGACTACTTTGAAGGGAATTAGGGTTTTGTACCTCAAAGTCAATAAATTTATTTTTGCCGACCAAAGGTCCGATACTTTTTGAACAGACCTTGTACTTTTTGCTTAAGTTGATAAAAATTTTAACAAACAAAAAAGTTGCTTATTTGTTAAAATTTTGTTTGTTAAAATTATGAGTCACAGAGGAATTTCTTTCAAGTTAGAAAGAAGTTTCTGAGGAAAAATGTTGGCTTTGATATCAACTCAACAAGGAAGTTCTTTGTTGCTTCTCTCCTCAGGTGATTCAAATCATCCCTAATTATTGAATGGACAAAATCCTATAATTAAAGCCAAACACAAACATCCAATGTAGGAACTGGAAACTGAACTCTCAAGAAAATTCTTTCCTTGTGAAGACGTAGTATGTAAAATATGTGAAAATAAATGTGGAGAAATAAGTTTTATTTAATAATATAATAGTAAGAGAATGTCTTGTTTTCGTTAAATAGAAAATGACATCACAATTTTTTAACTTTTTGTTTTATAACCTTTAAACAAAAAGGAATAATAATAGTAATAATAATGTTAATGATGCAGTAAAATAATAAAGTTTTACACAAAAAAACTAAACTAAACCAAAAATCTGAAGATTCAATCAAACCTACATTGTATAGCTCCAGTACCTAGTGTCTTATTTACTTGGTATTGCCACTCTGGAACAAAACTTCCAAAGACTTATAAGCTAAACACTAAATTTCCAGAGGCCCAATTTTTGGAAATGCTTGAGAAGTGAATACTATTATTTGGAAAAGGAGCTGCTTACGTTAAAGGCTATGTGCTCACCAAGTTTTGTTTGAATCAGAGATCTAAATGTCTGGCCCTCCCCTTGTTAATAGGAATCATTTTTGAATAATTCAAAAAAAACACATTTGGTAATGTTTAAACAGTATTTTACATGTTCTGTTTAAGTTTAACTGATTACAAATTTTTATTGGGGTTTTCATTCTAAATTTCATGCTTTTGCATAAAGAATGATCTTCAGAAATTATATGCTGCCATCCTGAAGATATTAACAAAAAACATTTAATTTTAAAAAAATGCTTGTAATGAAAAATACATTTAATTCTCATAATGAATTATTATGCTTAAATATTTCTTTGGTATGTAACATTTAATAAAGCATTTATAATCAAATTAACTTAAATAAATTTCTTTATTTTCATTTTTATTAACCAAGTTTCCTTATTTTGTTCTAATTTCTATATGAGGATAAAATTACTTAAAATTAGTTAAAATAAAAGAGTGAATTTACTTTATAATTAGAATATATTCTTAAAAATATTAAATTATTCCAATATATTAAGATTTATATAAAAACAGTAACATACCTTTTGACCTTTAAGAATATGATACCAAACTGATGTTCCACCAAAATCTATATGAAAATCAGTATAACATCCTTTCACACTCATTAGGCAATATCTATATAATAATAATATAAAGTTCTTATTTAGACCTTTGATTGTAATAAATTATAATAATAATGATTATAAATAAACAACAAATAGTCATATAAAATTGCAATAAATTCTAAATATATTATGTTATTTTTTAAATTTCCATTATTCAATGACAGCATCTTTTATTAGAATAGAATACTGAAAGTTATTTTACTATAACTTTTTAATATATAATATAATATATTCACTATTATTTTTAATGGAAAGAATTGTCAGCAAAAATATTACTTATTGATATACACTTATCATCATACAATTAAACAACATATAATGGATAGACAACCTACAGCCTCTATTAGATCGTAATCAATAATCTATTGGGCAAACTCTGGTTAATCCAGCCCATGGTTATTAAAGATGCATGTAACAAATGGAATAACTTAAATTTTTATACAAATAACGAATTGTAAGAAATATTCATAAAATAAATTCTACAATATAAACAAGTTTACATTTTTACATATTATATGTGCGCTCTTCCAACTGCAAACATATAGCATTGTTCACATGGAAAAAAGTTGAAGTACAAGGCTGGAAAGTTTAAATTTTAAAAAACAGCCATTTCATTTGCAATGACCCAATATATAACAATCTCTCATTTCACAAACACACACACACTAAAAATAAATTTTAGTTGTCTTCATCATTTGAAACCTTTTGGAAATTGCTACTTCTTTGAATTCTGTTGATTTAGTTTTCAAGAAGTCAGTTTTGAGAGTCTGCCGAATGCTTTGTTGCAATTGTTTTTAAAGATTGTTATATAAGACTAAACAAATTTCCAATCATATTTCAATAAGATAAACAAACAATTTCATATGAACTCTTATATTGAAACCACATTGTTTAAGTACTGTGTTATACAAGGATTACCTGTATACATATTTTCAATCATGGATGCATCCAGAACACATTCCTATTTATTCCCAATAAAATGAATTTATTTTCTGCCAATTCTGTTTATGCTGTCTCCAGCAGGAAGGCATTACTGGCAATAAAGTGTATGATATCAAGATATCTTGGTATTGAAAACACACATTAATTATAATTTTTCTTAAAAAAAAAAATATGTAAAAAAGACTAAAATATATTGATTTTTGTCATGTCATTTAATATATATATATATAGGGTGGGGCAGAAAGAATGGATGTTTTTTAAAAAATCACAACATCTGTAATTGTTGCTACAAAAGATATTTGTTGGAAGATGTGAGTTTGTATTGAAATAGCATTTTACAGAATCAAGTGTGGTAAACAATGTCTCTCATGTGGTGTCCATTATCAGTGATGCATTTCTGGAGGCAATTTTGGCAACTTCCACATGAATAACTTCCTTTAGTTCTTGCAAAGAACGTGCTTATGCTTAAGACTTACTTCTGCTGTAAACCAAAACAGTGCTTATTTCCAAATATTTTCACAAACTTTTCAAACTTAGTTCTTCTTCAGGTGAATAAAACGGGTATAATTGATGTTATTCGAAATCTGAATGCAATGTTCTAAGGAAACTCGTGCAATCATCGTGTTAAACTTGCGCATGATCTGTACATATAAGGATCGCTTTTGACTTCTCAAGTGTCGTAGATACGAGTTTGCCATGCTATCGATAAGGATAGTTCATCCTTATTGTTTATACACTTGTCTTCTCTTGCTGTTTTATAGATATACATCGCTTCCATCCAGCGCAAATGGTGTATAATCTGTGTGGTGTAAATTATCTTTGCCTCGTCAAATACAGCTTGTATGTCAGGGTCCGTGGCATATTGTGCTAATGCTGTAGTATATCTTTTATGTAGGATGTCTGCTTTGTGTTCTTTGATCCTCACCTCCAATGATCTTTTTGTGGATCCCACGTATACTAAGTCTTTATCACATCTATGATCTTTTATAGGGATCCTGTGTACTCCTGCTAATTGTGCTTATGCTTATATACACGAGTCTTGAGGTGTCCCCCACAAGAAATAATCGCATATGGACAGTTTTGCGATTACTTCTCCTCCTCGTTTGCCCTGCCATGGATAGGTCGGGCAAACGAGGAGGCAATGAATTTCACCAAACCTGGAAATGAGGCAATCAGGGAAGAGACAATGAATAACATTAATTGATGCTCTAGTTATGTGGGCCGTTGCCCCATCCTGTTGAAACCACACACATCTGATAGGAATACATTTCCATCATGTGCAAGGATGCAGAAACATATTCCCATCAAATGTGTATGACTGAGTAATCCACTTTGCGTATGACTGTTTCCTCAGTTGTACGCAAACACACAGTGATCTATAGTCCATGGCTCCATGCCTTCAACTGAAAAGACAATGCTAAGACCTCACTACTCTTATCCTACTTGCCACACATCTGTCACTTCACTTGGTGGTGAGTTCTAGCCATTTCAAAAATGTCTGTCCTTTATGCCCTACCCTGTATATACAGGTAGGTATCCCTTGTACAACACAATACTTCTACAACCTAGTTTCACTCTAACACAGTTTTGGAAATCCTCTAACAGAGTTTTGGAAAACAAAATTTCACAATTTTTAAGTGTAAACTTCATTACTAAAAGACTTACTATGACACCTTGTGAATGTGCAGCAAAAGTTTATTACTTCCAAACGTTTTCGGTCATGTTAAATGACCTTTCTCAAGAAAAAGAAAAAACAAAATAAAAAACAAGAGGTTAAAAAAGAGAGTAAAAATAGAATGCTTAGTACAAATATAATTAAAAAATATTCGAAAAGCCTGTTAGTTTTTGCATTTGTACTAAACGTTTGATTTTTACACTCTTTTTTAACCTCTTGTTTTTTATTTTGTAAACTTCATTATTTGATATATTTTTTTAAAAATTCAAGTAAGCAAGTATGTCATCTCAAATTTTCCCACAGATTTTGGAATATTGAAATTTTCAATTTACGAGGGCTATTTTTTAAATAACATCCGTTTGTGAATGAGAGTGAGAATGATGCACGATCGCAGCAGTATGCTTGCACTTCTGCTCTGAGCAAGCTTGGCACACATTTAGACATCATTTGCAGTCATATCGTCTGTCTGTGTGCTGAGAAATAAAAGTTTATAATGTTTAAGAAAATTGAGTCGTCCACTGACTGTGAAATACAATCTGATATTCAATTCTTGAGTACAAGAAACTTAACAGCAGCAGAAATTCACTGTCAGATTTGTGAAGTTTATGGTGATAATGCTATGAGTGACAGTAAAGTTCAAAAATGGGTGAGAATGTTCAAGAGTGGGTGAGTTAATATGCATGATGAACCACACCCTGGCTGACCTTCTCTGAGTTCTGAAGATTTGGTTCATGATGTGGATAACAAAATTCGAGGGGACCAACGATTCACAATTTCAACATTATCAATTGAATTTCCATAGGTTTCAAGATCAGTTTTGTATAACATTGTTTCAGAGAAATTGAATTATTGAAAATTGTGTTCTCGATGCGTTCCAAGACTGCTTTCTGATGATCACAAAACAAAAAGATTGGGCAGTGCTTTATCGTTTTTGACTCAATATGATCAGGAAGGAGATGACTTGTTGGACCACATTGTTACAGGAGATGAGATTTGGGTGTCTCACATGACTCCTGAGTCCAAGCAACAGTCAATGGAATGGTGACACACATCTTTGCCAACCAAAGTGAAAGCCAACAGACAATTTCAGCACAAAAAATCATGGCAACTGTCTTTTGGGACAGGAAAGGGATTTTGTTGGTGAATTTTATGCCAAGAGGCACAACAATCAATTCTGATGCATATTGTGAGACCTTGAGAAAAACTCTGACGTGCCATACAAAACAAGTGATGTGGCCTACTGTTTTCCAGTGTGATGTTGCTCCATGGCAATGCAAGGCCACATGTTTCTGCACAAACACAAGGTTTAATCAGTTTTTTTTGATGGAAACAACTGGATCATCCACCTTACAGTCCAGACCTTGCACCCAATGATTTTCACTTGTTTTGATACTTAAAGAGTTCCTTGGTGGTCAACAGTTCAACAACGATGAAAAAGTGAAAACTGCAATCATGGATTGGGCTTCTTTACAGGCAGCAGATTTCTTTGAAGTCGGAATTCAAAAAATTGTTGAGTGGTATGACAAATGTTTAAAAAAAAATGGAAATTTTTTAGAAAAGTAAATAAAAGTATGTAGAATATGGAAAAAATATATTTTAATGATATTTACAGTATTTTTCTTATTAAAAAAACAGACCTTATTTAAAAAATAGCCTTCATATTTTGTGCNATTGTTAAGCGATATGACAAATCTTTGAATAAAAATGGAAATTATGTAGAAAAGTAGATAAAAGTATGTAGAATATGGGAAAAATTATACTTTAATAATGATATTTACAGTATTTTTCTTATTAAAAAAACAGACCTTATTTAAAAAATAGCCTTCATATTTTGTGCCTTTCATCAGGTATACTTTAATGAAAACTGATAGTGCAATTTTCTTCTTCCTTGCCCTAGCTTTCCTATCAACCAGATGTCATCGTCATTCTTTTCAAACTTTAGATTGTCACCATGTTTTGTTTTTATAGATTAATCTTTGTATTTTGTAAAGTTTATTTAAACATGTTTAGGTAAGTATTATTAAACTTTTTTTAACCATAGATAAGTAATTGGTTGTAAAAATGACAAATGAAATATAGTGGTATCTTGGTACTCAAACTGTTCTGAAGTGGAACAATTCTGTATTCGAGCACAAAGTCTGGAAAAAATACTCAATACGAGACTGAACAAATGTGACCACTAGAACAAATTATGGATTAATAACATGCTTTTATTTTGTCATCCATAGAAAATTATGATAAAAATAAAAAAATGAAGATTATGTTGATATTTCTGATCAAGATCAAGGAAGCTCAGGAGATGACAATAAGTTAGAAAAAAAATGCCCTCATTTAACTAATATTAATATTAACACATAATACAGTACTTTTAATTGTAAATTATCAGTTGTTTTAATAAACAATAAATATGTTTATTAAAACAACTGATAATTTATTTCCAATCAATAATTAATTGAAAATCACAATTAAAAGTACTGTATTATGTGTTAATATTAATTTTAGTTAAATGAGGGCATTTTTTTCCCAACTTATCGTCATCTCCTGAGCTTCCTTGATCTTGATCAGAAATATCAACATAATCTTCATTTTTTTATTAACAATAAAAATCAATAAAATTTATAATAAACAATAAATATGTTTATTAAAACAACTGATAATTTATTTCCAATCAATTCTCTTAGTAATAAAAAAGAATAGTATACTTTTGCTAACTTCTGAAACGTAATCCTATGTTTTGCATTAGTCCTTTATTTCATATAGCACAGATCTGCATAACATGGCACTTTTTCAGAACATATCTACCATGTTAAATAAGGGATACCTATATATAATTTTTCTGTTGTCAAGAAATTTTAAGTTACTAAAAAAATTTGTATGAGTTGGTGGGATCTGAGTTCGGGATTTACTGTAGTTCAAAAATTTTATAACGAAGAATTTTTTAATATTAAAAAAGATAAATATTTATGATAGTCTTTTTTTAAACTTTCTTAAACTTCCTCATAGTACCTGCAGGATGGAAGATCTTCTTTTTCATGTCCATGTTTATGCAGGTCAAGAAACAGTGTGCCTTATAGTAAAAAATAAGGTTTAACACATCCAACCTGAGTCTCTAAGGATGGTAAGCTGATATTTTTATTGCCTCAGTCATTCAATCCTCAATTGGGGAGCTTGTTTCAAAATGGATAAAAGTGCCATATTTGAACTAATGCTATAACTCATTGCAAAGCTCTACTATTTATGTAATAAGTTTGTGTCAAATAGGCTATATATAGTAGGAAAAATAGCCTCTAATTTATGTTTTGTTTACAAATGAACATATTAGCTATGAAGAATAATGCCTTTTTGTAAAGTTCATATTTCCTGCACTTATGTCCATATGAAAATAAGGTCCTCAATTATAGTTGTCATCAATAATGAATTATATTATATAAAGTTATATATAAATTTGTTTGTTTGTTAAGTTATGGCAATGCAACACTTGGGCAATCTGCCTATAAGGGATGCCTTCCGGAAAGTCTTTTTAAGGGAAACTGGCCCCTATTTAGGCGTTATACCCCGTTTGCACCGAGAATTTCGATCTAGATTGTAACCAAGGCCGGCGACTATGACGTGGTGCGACCACTCTCAACTGTTTCAATCTCGACTGAAACGAGATTCAATTGCAATTGACTCAAGAGAGTTCTTGAAACTAGATCCAGTCATAAGAGAGATCCACAATCCCATGTGTGCGAGAAAATACAAGATGGCTGCGGAACACGTGTCGAGCTATCAACAGAGAAATATAAAAGACAACTGGAGAGACAATGACATTTGTCTATTCTTAGATATATGGCAAGAAAAAGTATTTATTTCTAACCAAAACTTCCATTTTGTTTGTTGGTGTTCATGACTTATCATGTAGTTATGTCAGTTTTATCATTGAATATAATAGCCAGGTTCTTCTCAAGTGGACTGCCTGTGTGAACAGCACAACTTTCAACTGATGACAGTCACAATCTAGATCGTAGGTAATTTGAGATCGAAGTGAATCGTGGATTGTGTGCAATGTAGTATTACAGACATGGAGAAAACCCGGAAAACTCCACGTGACCAGCCTGTCCAAGTGAGGCGCAAACCCACAACTGAACTCCCAGTGTCCAAGATACAAACACCACTTGGCCACTGGTGGCATATATAAAATTGAAATTCACATTTTTTACATTTTGTTTATGGTAACACTATACTTACTTTTGCACTTTTGGATATTTCATGTCTTCAATAACATTTGTGCCTTCTGTTTGACTTTCTTTTAAGTGGCGTGGCCACACCCAATCTACCCAGTCAATTAATCTCACCTATAATGAAATTAAAATCATACTTGTAAAACTTGATTATTATATAATTTTCTATTTTAAATTTCAACCTAATTAAACTGTGTATTAATTAATTAATTAATTAATTGCATGTCAAATTATATTGGGTTGAACCATAAGTTCATCCAGTTTTTAGAAAGAAATAAAATATACTATTTTGAAATAAATAAAAACGTTTAATCCACAAGGTATTTACCCTTCTGTTCAATAACCTTACACCACCTGACTGGTAGTTTAATAATTCTGTCTGTGTAGAATTGGGTGGGTTTCTGATTGAAGAAATTGTCAATGTGATTTTTGATACCTTCTAGAGATTGAAATTCTATGCCATTTAAATTATTCTGCAATGAATGAAAAAGATGATAGTCTGAGGGAGCAATATCTGGAGAATATGCAGGGTGACTCAAAACATCCCAGTTAAAGTCTAGAAGTTTTTGGCGCACGTTTAACAATATGTACGGTCTTGCATTATCATGATGGAATACCACTCCCCGTCGATTTGCAAGTTCTGGATGTTTTTGATGCACTGCAGCCTTTAGTTCATCCAGTTGGAGACAATATTTATTGGAATTAATTGTTTGGTTGTTGGGTAAAAGCTCGTAATAAAGAACCCCTTTCCAGTCCCACCAAACTGAAATCATTACTTTTCTGGGATGCAAACCAGCTTTAGGTTGTGGCACTGGAGGATCACCTGGCTTACTCCAAGATCTCTTGCATTGAATATTGTTGTAAATGATCCATTTTTCATCACCTGTTATTAATTGCTTTAAAAAGAGATCATCATCATTGCATTTTAAAAGTGAATCACGTACAGAAACACGCTCAATAAGGTTTCGTTCACTTAACTTATGGGGAACCCAAACATCATAACAGGAAGTGTATCAAAAGCTAGCCAAATGTCTGACAACAGATGTTTGGGATATTTTTAAGATGTTGGCTATCTCTCGTGTTGTTTTATGCCAATCATTTTGAATTAAAGCCGTTACGGACTCATCTTATATGGTTGAAGGTCATCCTGACCGAGGTGCATCTTCAAGAGAAAAATCTCCCTCCCTGAATTTTGAAAACCATTTCTGGCATGTTCAATCAGTAACTGCATCCTCCCCATATACAGCACATCTTTTTTTGAGTTTTTGTTGCATTTTTTCCTTTTTGGAAATAATAGAGCATCAGATGTCGAAAATGCACCTTCTTATCTTACATTTTAATGTTTTTTTTTCTTAAAAGTTAACAAAATTTTAAAAAATAGCTGTAATTAAACTTACATAATAAACATGCAGATATTCGTAATGTCAACCTAAACAAGTTAAAACTTGATAAGCACAACAGAGGCGCCACAGACGAGCAATTATGTAAATACCCGAACAAACTTTTGGTTCAACCCAATATTTTAAAAATTATTATACAGACATAAACCAATATCTACAAACCTGATATACAGTACATATTAATAATAAGTCAACAGTTATATCCAAAATTATGTAAACCCAAATTTCTTCTGATTAATTTTTGTTAATTAGCTACTAAAACGACTGTGCATACTTACAATCTTTCAAAATAAATGATAGAAATTAGTAGTTATTATATCTAACATAACTGATTTATAAACTAAGTATATGTTCAAATTGAAAATGTTTAAACAAAGTTAATTCCATTTTCAAATAATAATGACCATACAAATAATTCTAGGTCAGCTCAAATCCTGTTTTTAAATTTTCCAACTAGAGACAGTTGGTTTAACATTAAAAAACCAACAACATGATATTAAAAAACACATACAATATACATTGACCTCTTTTTGAAGATCCATCATTTGTAAAAGAATTAATGGGACTTTATAATTCATGTCAATATGTAAATTGCGAAGAATTTCCGAATATCCACCAAGGGGTCTGCAGATGTGTATAAATATAACAGCTATTGACACAAATGACGTTTTGAAAAATTTTTAATACTGTGTCGTTGGCATTGGATCCTTAAAGAAAAGGCTGACATCAAATGTATATTGTATATGTGTTTTTAATATCATGGCGTTGATTCTTTTTAATGTTGTTTAACCATCTGTCTCTAGTTGGAAAATAAAAAAAAAAGGATTTGAACTTACTCATTATTATTTGCATGGTCATTATTATTTGAAAGTAAATTAATCATTGGGACTTTATCATTCATGTCAAAGTTAATTCCATCTTACATCAAATGTTATATTCTGAAGTACATTTAATGCAACTTTCCTCTAAGTATTATGATGTTTAATTAATCTCAACAAAAGTTACGGGAAAATTTTACTAAATTAACAAGAAATTATACTTACTACAGTTGGTGATTCAACATAATTTTCTAATCTTGTATGACTAAATTCCAAACTAATCACATTTAACAATTTTTCTCTGTTCGGATTTTCATAATATCGACACCAGTCTTTCATTGTCATTTCTATGTCTTTTTGAGTAGTAACATCCATAACATCAAGAATGCGGCGACTGCCTAAAGGAAAAAAGAAATATTAAATTGTAAAAATATTCTGTAACAAATGTTTACAAAATCTTAAAAAAAAAATTAAAATCAATAAATATATCAATCATAAAAATTTTTAAATTAACTCTTTCCTGAAAGCAGAAAATTTCTGTAGTTTAGTGAGCTGTTAAAAAATTTATCTAATTACAGGTATACCTCATACAACATGGCACTTCTAGAAAAAAGTTTCACTCTAACACAGTTTGAGAATTTGGGAAATCATCCATACAAAATTTCACAATTTTTAAATGTGAATTCCATTATCGATATTTTTTTTTATCAAGTACATGTCATCTCAAATTTGCCCATGGATTTTAGAACATTGAAGTTTTCAATTTGTTTTGTGCCTTTCATCAGGTTTACTTTAATGAAAACTGATAGTACAATTTGATTCTTTCTTGTCCTAGCTTTTGTGAGATCAGCCGGGGGTACAACTCCTCTAAGGATCGTTCGTACCACTTAATCGGCACAGATTAACCGAAATCTGTATCCTTAGTTTCGAATCGTAAGATCCGATCTTATGTCAAGATTTGTTTGACCGGAGGGCGGTGATATTTAGGTAAAAGGGAAATTCTCGACTGTGAGGTCTTTATCCCAATTGTCAGGTTCCCGACACCAGTTAATCAATTGTTTACACGCGGATTAACACGCGTAGGAGATCTGATTCGGAATAAATAGAGGAGACATACTTATAAAATAAAACAAGAGTATATTTAATAAATCCAAACAAACGAATACAGAAAATCAATAACAACGATTATACGACAAGTTAAAGGTTACGACTTAATCTATGCTAATGCGCATTCGAGAGAGAGAGCTCACGAAAATGATTCTAAACATACGACCTGTTAGTTGTCGTCATCGTTTCTGTAGGTAAAGGACACCTTGTAGATAGAGTTTCATATTACTTTCGTATGGGAGATCAATTCGTGCACCAATATATAAATATCACTTCTTCTATATGTAGACTCGGGACTTAGTCTATCGGACTCCGTTATGGGCGTTGGCCATCGGGAGGAAACGTATGTGGAGTTTTGGATGCTTCGGGTCTGTCGAAGAACTGTCGCGGAACCCCGAATTCTGACTAATTTCTCCTTTTATTTCAAAATTTTTGTCCAATCATCGACCAGTAGCTCTTCGTGAGAACCGGCGAAAAGGGGGACGAATGAGGGGTAGCCATTTCCCATCTGAGCGAGATTTTTAACGGATAAGGGAAAAACAGAGGATGTACGGACTTCCTTTAACGGAAGTAACATCTGTTATCGATCCTTTCCCACGACTAAAACACCACTTTTTCACCAAAAACGAAGTATTATTTTGTGTGAATATTTAAGCATATTTAATAAAAATTATTAAATGAGGCCTAGGGCCCTCAGGTTTTCACACTTTTCTATCAACCAGGTATTGTTGACATTGCTTTCAGACATTAACATTTAAGAATTCCACAGTGTTTTGTTTTTATAGATTCATAAACTTTACTAAATACGAAGATTAAACACTTTTAGGTAATTGTTATTAAACTTTTTTAGTGTGGGTAAGTAATCATTTGTAAAAATAACAAATAAAATACAGTGGTATCTCAGTATGTCCCAATTCGAAAAATTCTGTATTTAAACACAAATTCTGAAGAAAAATCACTTGGTAGTAGACTGAACAAACAAGGGCCCCTAGGACAAATTTTTGATTAATAACATATTTTTATTTTGTCATCCATAAAAATTTTTTATGATAAAAATAAAAAAAAGATGTTGCTGATACTTTGTAAAAAAAATGCCTTTGTTTAACTAAAATTAATATTAACGTGTAATACAATACTTTTAATTATGATTGTTAATTAATTATTGATTGTTTTAATAAACATTTTTCCCTTAGCAAAAATATATTATTCTTTTTTGTTACTAACTTTTGGAATCTAACTCTATGATTTGTACTAATCCTTTGTTTTGTGTAGCATGAATTTGCATAACACAGCACTTCTTCAAAACATAACTACTATGTTAAACAAGGGATATCTGTATCTTGATAAAATATTTTTGTAAAAGTTTTATTACTAGTTAATAAACCCACTTTTCATAATTTTTTTACACAATTTTTACACAATAATTTAGCATACACATTTTTATATTTATGTATTTTTAATTTTTTAATAAATATTTTTCTACTTTTTGTAACATTTAGCTCATTGTATTGTTAAATTACAATCTAAAATATCAGAGAATTACATATTTCTGTACAATATGCCAAAGGCCATGTAACTAATGTAATTTATTAAGCAAATGAAATACAGCTACATATACAGAATTCTACTTTCATTAATTAATTAATAATTAACAGTAATAATATAAATAAACTGCAGGTAAACAGCAATCATCTGCTGAGAACATCACAGGTTGCCAGATAGGTTTATAAAAAGAAAGCAGAATTCCTCTAAACACAGTCCAAATTATTTTTACAGTGACTTAAAAAGTAGTAAGTTGCCCAAATATAGAGAGCCCTACAAATATTTCAATATGCTACTAGGAGCCCAATCTTGCAATCCTAAAAACAGCCATATTTTATGGGGGGGAAAAAAAAAGGTAGTCCATGGGTCCATGACACCCAAAAATGTGTTACTGTAAAAAAGAATGCCATATTGATCAGATTACAGTTTTCTGGTCTATTGTCCTCTTATAATAGCATGAAGGCACTTCAATCTAAACAAATGAGATAATGTATGCATATCACAGTTTGGACAGAATTTTCACTTCAAATTTCAAAGTAGCTGTATTTCACACTATCCAAATTCCTTAACATGTAATTCTCTATATCCCCGACCAGTACAAAAGTACAGTTAGAAACTAACAGAATTTTGAACCATCCGAGTTTGAATTAATAAGTATTTCCTGTACAAAATTTTTTATAAATATTTTATAAATAATATTTTGTAATATATAAGAAGAGTAGCAGTCTGCAAATTTTGATTATAATATTGTGACTCAAGGATTCAAAAATATTGTTATTATTCTTTTTTTATTTTCTTTACTACACTTTTATGTGCATAATTATAATTACACCTAGATGCCAAAAATACAGCAAAAAATGTTTATATTTTAAGTAAAACAAACATTTTCTTCCATTTAAACAGTCATCTTGATTGTTTTTGATTTTTTCTAATCTCAAGTGCATGCTTTAAAAATAGGACACCATTACAAATTAAAAAATTGAATATGTGTTGTGAATATGCACAACACAGTGTGGGAGTAACTTATTGGTTCAATGACAGTTATGACATATAACCAATTAAAATATAAAAAATGTTACAATTAACTATTCTAACTATTAACTAACAAATATAAAATTAGAACTATTCAAAAGTTCAAAAACATTTGTGATACAGTTTTTTTTTTTCACAAAAAACACCAGTTCCTTAACAGGTTCCAGTTATAGTGTTGATTACACCCCCAGTGTTAAGGTAATGTTGAACTTCTTATTTAATGTTATAATTTATAATAAATAATAAAAAACATATAATTATTAATAAGAAGACTTATGTGAGCTCATCAAATTCTTGCCACAAGCCAACATAGTCCATCTCCTTATAATTAGCTGCTGTGACCCTTTTGAAAGCCTTGAATATTTTGATCCATTCAAGATACCTGAGCAAGCAGTCATCAGTGGTGTAAGATTTGTACCTCATAAAAACCTGATCATCATTATCAGCATTAAGTTTAAACAATAAAATATTTTTCTTTAAATCAATGAACAAAACTGGATAAATTTAAACAAGATGCAATAAAACTCCATGTCAATATTTTATAGATAGATTCTAGAGTTATAAATACACAAAATCCACTTGAAAGTTTTTCAAATTCTGCTTCTGTTTTGAAATCTGGCCTGCCAAAAATAAGTAATTTTCAAATTTCTCACCAAAATACTAATATTAGAGCTGTTGAATTTTTTCTTTTTTCTTTTAATACTTCTGTCAATCAATTGTGATAACTAAATGTTGCTCAAATAGATCCTACTACAATAAGTGTAAACAAAACTTAATCCAGTTAAAGATTTTGCAATATCCACCTGCTTTACAATAATATTATTATTTGAAAAGCAAGAATTTTTTAAATGTAACTTTAATTTAAATAATATTTCATTATTTTCTTTTACAAGATTAAACAGAATAATTTATAATTATTTACAACAGAATAACTGCTCAAACTATCCTCTGCAATGTGAGACATTTTGGGCAGTTCAATTTCCACATATTCAAAAAAAAAAATAATCTTCAACATAAAACAAAGCTCCAATTTGTAAGTGTTGGTAATACAGAAGCGGAAAACAAACAGCAATATCCTTTTGACAAAGTTTAAAGTTGGTTTCTCTTATAATTTTTTGGCAGTCAAGACCTTGAAAAGAAAGTGGAATTTGTAAAATAGAGAATTTTAAGCTTATATTGACCCTAGAACTTATTCTTAAAATATTAGCATGAAGTTTTGTTACTCCATTTATATTACATATTTATTTAAAAATAGCTTTAAAATTTTATCAATAAAATTAAAAATTAATTAATAGATAATTAAAATACGTATAAAGTAATAAAACTATTATTTGAACTTACCTACACACTGTCGAACATCATTAACAGTGAAATTACTGCTTGGCATTCTGTAAGATATAAAATTAATTTAAAAATAAAACTAAACTATTTAAGACTAATTAATTTAATACTTTATTATATTTTAGTAAAAGTTTATACTTAACAACCTTAAGCATTCGGCAATACCAGGAAATATAATGAAGATACTAAAGTGAGATAAACTTTTGTTATAGTTAGATGATAATGTGTAAAGTACGATAAAGTGAAACCTTTGTAAATGAGACTCATACAGTACAAAATATTTTTTCTGGTTTGGTAAGTTTCCATTTTGAACAGGTTTTTTTTAACACAAAAAATAACTGAGTTCCTAAGAATTCTTCTTATTTAAGCAGGTTTCCATTTTATTAAGATCCCATTTTGGAAAGATTTTACTGTATATATAGGTACAGGCACTCCCCTACGTATGAACAGGTTTTGTTGTAAATCCAAGTGTTTGTAGATAAAAACCTAGGAAGTACTATACATTTGAACACAAAATAACCATGTATTTTTAGTTTGAGATTCTTCAATGCACTCAATAGAATACATTATGCTCATTTATCTGCTGGCTACTGCTAAGTAACAAGTGTTTCAAATGTGATTTTTTTCATCTGATGCACTTAGTTTTATAACATCAAGTTTAGTTTTCATAGTAACAGAGCCATACTTCTTGCATTTTTTTTCCACTGGTAGAATTACTATTAAATTTTAAAGGCATATTTGAAGCACTAATAGTAAAAGATTATAAAAATTACAAACAATAGCGAAAATGCCATTATTTGACATTACCGACTTCAGTGCTACCTTGCAAGTGGCGATGGAATGTCAGAGTTTGCATAAAAATGAAAAATAATGATACACAATAGAAATAAAATTCACATTATTTATTATTGGATAAAGACAGACTTCAATGCCACCCCACAACTGGCAAGAGAACTTCAACTTTCAAATTTAAATTTTAGATGTACAGTCAAATTGTTTGCAAGTTGAACATTCACAAGTAGGGGAGCACCAGTAAATCTTGCAAAAACACTAAGTTTTATTCAAGTGTTAAATACTATATATGAATTGTCCCACAGATAAAGAATATAAACTTGTTGGAGTAGATAATTTGAGAACAAAAGAAAAATTTAAAGTAAAATAATTGAAGTTTTATTATTAGCAAAATATAAAAATATTACCTATGTTTTTGCTTAATTCAGATGTTATAATTAAAATTCCTGTACATTATTTCAATGTTTTAACTATCTGCTCTACTGTAAAAAATTTTTTTTATAAATGTGCCAAATTTTCATCAAATATACAGGGTTCCTACTCAAAAAAATTTTTTTCCATGACTTTCCCTGACTTCCCTGACTAACTTTGTACAAATGCTTTGAAAAAAAAAAAAACAATTATTTTTTTATTATTCATTAACAAATTCTATATAATCCATGTACAAAAGTATATATTTATTAAATTTATCTCTTAATAAATTTCCTGAAGTTTATAAAATATTAATAAACTGGGAAAAAAAATCGAAAAGCGTTTTGTTATGCATCAAAATTATTCAAATGAAAATTGATAAACAATACCATTTAAACCATNTGTATACTTTGTAAATTTTTGGGAAAATTTTGTGTAACTGTGTGTTTGAGAAACTTGGGAGGAGAAATTTTGAGTCCTGAACATATTCTGCACCCTTTTTCATAAGTTGTATTGCACCACATTACTTCTTGCTGCCTGTAGATGGCTACACTTAGTCAAGCATATTGTCAGCAAAAAAACAACAAAGCAGCCAAGAAAGCAAATTCCCTGATTTTTTGACAATTTTTAACAAATTCCCCGACATTCCATGACTTATTCTAAACACTAATGAAAATCCCTGATTTTCATTAGTGCATAGGAACCTGAATATACTTAATTTACTAATTTTCAGGTGCATACTGATTACTGATTTCCAGGTGCATAGGAACCTGAATATACTTAATTTATTACTTTTCAAACTAATTGTCAAAAACAGTACTTTAAAAAAAGTTAGACCATAAATTTTGGAAAGTATAATAAATTACTAATTCCTAAAGTTAATTTAATCATTGGGAATATCTGACATCTTGCAACCCAGAGACATAATAATCCATGAATAAAACTGACATTTCAGTTTTGGTGATACGAAAGTACAGTTCATTGAATTTTGTTTAAATTTTACAAAATAAATTGACTTATTGACAATTTATTAATAAGCAAGTGAATAATGAGCAACCTTTTCTGGACGCAAACTGCAAGTGAACTTCATAACCTTCATAACTTTTTACATGCATATTTCTTATGAAGTATGCTGCCAAGTACTAACATATGCCAAAACCATTAGTACATTAGGTAGTAAAATAATATATGCTAATCATGTGCAAACTAGTAATGTATAACTTATTTTCATCTTTTTACTGGTCAGCTTAATACATTGCCAAAGCCTTGGGTTAACATTAGGACTTCACATGCTACAGGTTGATCATGGCCAGATTAGATCAATAATAATTAACATAATTATTTTTTTTAAATTTAATTATCCCTATGTGTTTTTCTCTATTTGTTTATCCTATCAAATAATATTATTAGAACTTAGGCCTAGTTTGTTTTTGTGCTTTATATAATGAAATAAACAAAATGAAAAAAATTACTGTCATTTAATGTTAATTTTTTATTTGAATTTTTATATATTTATATAAAAAAATTTATATAAACAATGACTAGTACTTTCAATAAGTATATCTTGTTTGTTGTCAGGTGATTGAGCTATTCAAAACAAAATTTAAAATGGCCTCAAAGGAAATGAATATTTTCCTTGGTCTTCGCATGACCCTCCACAATACAAAGCTATGTCCTTCAAGCAGATGAGCATATTTGAAAAGGCTCTTTGGAATAATATTACATGAAATAATTTTTTCAAATTATAAATTTTGAATATAAAAATATTAAATATTGATACAATAAAATAGGTACCAAACCACACAAACTCCATGTTGTCTGGTTCAATCACCTAATAAGTTGATAATACGATATACTGTACTTATCAATAGCAGCAGCCATTCTTTTTTATAGCTGTATACAAATTAAAAAATTAACATAAAAAAACATTAGTTTCTCATCTTATTTATTACTAATATTAAACTGATGTATTGTTTTACTCATTATAATGGTTAGATCAATAATGATCAATCAGAATAATCTTATTTCTTCAGTATCCAAATGAGAAATAATTTTGCTTATAACAGACATCTCATAGAGCAACAGCATAATACAATTCAAATATATTTATTAGTCAAGTACAGAAAAACATTAAAAACTAAACAAGGCTTTAGTAGCAAACTGTTATCATATACAGTATAAGAATGTTTCAAGTTGTAAATATATTCCAAAAAGTACTAATTTATTTAAAAATAGCTATTCATTATTAACTTTTAGAATGGAGAAGAAAGGGTATGAAAAGCTAAATCTTTGGGAGAAGTGCAAACTGATCCACTTTTTCGAAAGTCAAAGCAAGAGACGGACAGCTGAGGAGTTTTGAGAAATACAGAAAAATTTAAATACATTTAAATTCTGTAATACATTTTGAAATTTTATTTTTTTATTTTTTTAAATTCTCTTATTTAATGGCTTAAAACTTTTCCAATTCCATTTTTTGTTTTCAAAATATTTACAANTAATTTCTAATATTTAATTATAGCCTTTACATAGCCCAAGAATTTTGCATATTGTTTGGTATGTTTATTATATAACGAGCTATAATTGTTGATGTTTATATGTAATATGTGTGAACACAAGCAACACTAAGATGCTAGTGGGACGAGTGCTAAACACAGACTGATGGAGCATGCACACAATCCAGGACTTACCCTCTCCTCGTCACTCGCTATGTGATTCATTTTTTTACAATTTGTTTTGCTTGTTATGCAAATTACTCATTATGTGAGGTGCTTGTTAAGTGGGTTTCACTATATTATTATGCAAATTAATATAAAAATAACTTAAAATTAAAGTAAAATTTGTTTATTTTTGTCACCTGTTCCTCTTTCCCTATTTACTAGGGGTTAAAATAATTTCATTTGATGCCATTTCATTTATCGCCTTGTCATATAGGAATGAATCCTAAGTGCCAAACAAGGTCTTACTATATTTTAAAAATTTTAAATTTTAAAGACAATTTTAATTTCAGTGCAAATTTCATGCACAAGCATGAGAGAAAGTATGCAATATATGCAAATAAAGTATGCAATATGCAAATGAAGTCATATAAAACAGTTACATATAGCATATAAAGATTTATTTATTTATTTACAAATTGCCTGTAGCATTTGTAAATAAAAACAACAAATAAAATTACAAAATTGTGTGACAATAACCAAGTTAAGAAAAGTTTAAAATTCTTTAACAAAACAGTTTAAATTTATGAAAACCAATGCAAAGTTTATCTTCAATTATACAGTATTAGTAACTTTATGGTAACAATAGAAAAAAAATTTGACAGAAATAGCAAAATGGCAAAATGGAACAGAAATACAGGTAGACTGTCTTGTATTAACTGAAATAATATGTAAGTTGATGTAATAAGATGAGAGAAATTCATTGAAAAATTTATAAGGATTTGATCAAAGTAATTGATATGTTTAAATAAATTTGGTAAACTTAAGCGAGACTGTGCAACTTCAAGAGATTCTGTATATGGTAAGTGAGCCAGTCTGTTAATTAAAAGAAATATTTTACCTATTTGTGAATTAAGTTTACTTAACAGATAGGGAGATGCTGACGCCCAAACAGGAATAGCATAATCAAAAAGAGACTGGATGTCAAAGTAAAAAAGATGGTATGTAATCTATTCTTATTTCAGATAGTCTTAAAATTACATCAAAGCATGCCCCAACATATTGAAAATTTACTAAAAAATTTAATAAAAAAAATAGCAATACAGTGGTACCTCAGGATACGAATACCCCAGCATACGAAATTTTCAGGATACGACATGAAATTCCAACATATTTTTGCTCCACGATACGAACAAAAACTCACCATACGATGTTACATTAGTTCTCAGCACCATTTTTTATTCACTTCTGTTCATCGGTATCAGTCCCGTGTTTACTTCGTCGTGGAAGGATCTCGCTCGATAAAGGAAATCTTGAGGTATTATCAGAAAATGACTGATTTTATTGAAAAGAAACATCCCGAAAAGGTTCACACTGGCCGTATTGCTGCTTGGAGTAATGACATTTGCCTAAGTCATTTTAGAAACATTTTAAAAAGTAGGCAAAGCCAAACCTCTTTGAATAGATATTTTACCAAGCAACCTCTATCCAGTAAAAGTGCTGGTAGAAGTGAAGGAAAGAAAGCAAAAAGCAGTGAATAAAAATTTTTAAAAATAATTTTTAGTTTAAAAAATAATTTAAAACTAATTTTTTTTTATCTTTTCTAAGTTATTTTCAGTTATCGTTACATTCTGCTATATAAGTTAAGTTTTAGTGTCATTTCCCTTCTCCCTCTCTTCCGCCACCAAATTACACCTCCACCGTCGTCTATCCTCAAAGGTAAAGTGCAAATAAAACTACATTTTTTAAAATCAATTATTATTCTATTACGGTTATTTATACATTTATAACTACAAAACGCAATTTTTTCAGTGTTTTCCTTACTAAAGTTTTTTTTAAATGTACTGTACTACTTAGCTTTAATTTGAGTGTGTTTTTCGTGTTGGAACGAATTATTTGGTTTTACATGTAATCGTACGGAGAAAGATGCTTCACCTTACGACATTTTCATGATACGATCTCAGTTTCGGAACGGATTAATTTCGTATCCTGAGGTACCACTGTATGTGTTTTAAACATAAGTTTGGAGTCAAATGTGATCCCAAGGTCCGAGATAGAATAGACTATCTGCATGCATTAGTTTTCTATATACAGTTGACCCCCCTATAAAACGGGTTCATATAATGCGGATTCGTATATCGTGGCAAAAAAATTACGACCGTATTCGTATAAAGATGCTAAAAGAGACTCGTAAAATGCTGTAAAATGTCATCGCCGACTTGTGTCATGACAGGATTGGTCGAATCTGGACCAATAGTGGATGAGCAGCGAACTACTTACACGCTACAGAGAGTTTAGGTAGGTAAGTTGAGTTTACTATCATCTGTACAGTATATAAATTAGGTACTGTAAGTCTAATACAGTACTGTAATTTTATACATTTCTTGTGAAAAAAACATTTCTTATTCAACGGTCATAAAAATTATTTCTATAAACGATGTCTCCAAAGTTCAAAGAATTTTTCGCAGAAAAATAACTTATTAGAAAACGCAAGTGCCGTTTCGTGTGCTGCTCCGCGATGAAAACAAGCTTAAGCAATGGCGTCGTCGAACAATGCACACTCGGTAAGTAATCCTATAA